GATTTCCTGTGAGTTCATTTATTTTTTTCTGTGTCTTCTTATATTCTTTATTTTTGATGTCTTGAACTTTCTTGAGTGCTCTTGTATGTTTTGGTTAATCATATCTAGTTATATCTCCATGAAACTCTCAGTGTTTAGTTGGAGAATTTCTTCTTTGAGGGTGTTTTTGTGGGCATCATTGGGTCCCTTGGTGTCATTTATCTTTGCTTTGTTGGAGTACTGAATCTTGTATCCATTTTCTTCATTTTTTTCTGAATCATGTATTAAATTATCTTCAGGGGGAAAATGGTTTTCATACATTTTTCATCTTCCTATCACTCCATTTAGTACTGTACAACTATGCTCTTGATAGGCTAGTTGGTGGTTTCAGTCACCTGTTTTCTTCCCTTGGTTTAATTTTGTTTTCTGGCTGTATTGGTTTGTGCCTATGTATGTGTGTGTTATTTCTGTCCCTAGTCTGGGTATAATTTAGTATTTGCTAATTTACAATAGTAAAAGTAACAACAACATCAACAAGAAAAAAGCCAAAGAAATCAATGTGGAGAGATGAACAAGCAAACACAAATAAATAAGAAACAGAGCAAACAAACCAACCAAAAATTCCAGGTTCTGGAACAATAGAATATTAGTCTTAGTTTGAGTTATGGTGTTACTCCACCAGCATCCATTCCTGGTGTTGGTGTTTAAGGAGAAGCTCTATATAGTCTGGCCAGGTGGTTGAGTAGTGTTTTGTTTTGTTTTGTTTTTTTCCTTCTGTCTTTCAGAGGCAGCTGCTTGGTCAGCTTCTTCCTCAGTGGATGTGGCAGTTTAATTTTGTATGTTGTCCTCAGGTTTTGGAATCAGCTCTGTAGCCCACAAGCTGTCCTGCTTTGGAGTTGTGGTTTCACTGTGTTGTTTTACTGGGGGTTTATTTCTTTTCCTCGCCCCCTTTCTCTGGGAGAAGGTCAGTGATCTGTCAGCTGGCCCCCTGCTGTCAGTGTGTTGTGATAGTTTGCTGATTATTTTTCAATTTTGCAGTGTCTTTTGACTTTGGATGTTGCTCACTGGCTCAGGAGATGAGCTTTGTGAACCGCTACCTGCCCTATTTCAGGCAGTGGATTATCACCTACCCACTGTTGGCCCTTCTGCCTTTCCAGCCTTTGTTTACTGAAAGTTGGTGGATATCAGCTCCTTGCCCCTCTCCCTTTCTCTGGTACGCTTTTGGCAACTCTGTCCCTCTTCTGTGTGTTAGTTTTCAGTTCCTTGTTTATTGTTCAGGTTTTTTTTTTTTTGTGGGGGTCAGTCTGCCCAGGGGGCTATGCAGGTTTATCCTAGCGGTGGCTGGGGGAAAAGTGCATGACAGTGGGTGTTCCCCTGATGGTCTGCTGAATGTCTCCCAAGCAGGTTTGAAGCTGGCTTCTGTGGCACAGCAGCCCTCCTGTTTCCTCATTGTAATGTGGTATGGAGAAGCTTTCCACGGCTAGGGGTTCAGGATATCAAAGTTTTGATTCTCCTTGTTGCTTTATTTCTCCCAAGTGTGGCTGCAGTGTCTCAGGGAGGTTTTGGAGTCTCGGAGCTCACGCTGTCTGCTTCTGCGCCCTAGTCACCATCTTGGGATAGCCAGACTTTTATTTTTGAAGGATTCATTTGTATAGGAAATGACTTGCTAAATAATTATTATCATTTTTTAAATCCTTGAGGCAGATAGGAAGTTCTGTTATTCACTTTGTAAGAAGATCAACTTTCTTTTAGTTAGCAAATTATACCATATAGCAAATTCATATTTACTGCATGTTAGTTATGCATCATTAACTTCTGTTTCTACATCTTTTCATCATTTCACTTTCCTTTTCACTTTCCTTCCCATTTCACTTTTCTTTTCTTCCTTGTTTTTTTCAAATGGAGAAAATACTCATTTATCTTTCAATATGGACAAGACACTGCACTGAGTGTTATAAATATTGAAAATAAAGGAGAGTGAATAAAAGAAAATTAGAAGTGATGATCAATTAAAGAGTGAGATGAAGTAGAAAGACAAGTATTGCATGTTTTCTCTCATATGTGGAAACATTAAAAAAAAAGAGACCTGAAAGTAGTGGAGAGAACTATTAAGGAAAGCAAGGGGACCAGGTGAGACAGGGAGATGGAAGGGCAAGAGAAAGTAGAAGGGAGAGTGGACATGATCAGACCATGATGTGTCATGGTGAAAATGTCACAGTGGAACCCATTATTTTGGACAACTAATGTGTATTAATAAAGAAGAAAGTGAGGTGAAGAATTCATTTTTAACACGTGACATTTGAGGTATCCATGTGAGGCTGTGTTCCCTGCAGTCAGAAGTGCAAGCCTGTAGTTAAGGACAGAGAAGAGTTCACAAAACAAGATTGGAGACGGAGATATAACTATATAGCCAGCAGTTGAAATGCCATAAGGATGGTAGGAAGAATGGGTGCAAGGAGCTGCTATATAGAATGGTTACCAGGTGTACCACATGGCAAGTGAGGTAGAAAAAGAGACCCCAAGTAGGAAAATGATAAAGAACAAATCAGCAAGAAGAAAACAGCAAAAATCATGTCATGGAAACTCAGGACAGTGGTGTTCCCAGAAGAACACAGACATTGAATAAGTTGTGAGTTGCGCATGTTTGGATGAGTGAATGGATAATATCACATATTGCAGAGAAGTCAAATTAGACATGTAGCAATGAGCAGACCGATGGTCCTTTAAAAAGTAATTTAATAGTGTAAAGTAGAATGAAGTACGTATAATCATAGATGATAAGGAAGTCAAAGATAGATTCATTGAAAAATATATATTGTGTGCCTTCTGTGTTCTAGGCTTCTAGGCACTGTGCCATGTGCAGGCATACAGCGTTTAATGAGAAAGATAAAGATGATAGCTTCACAGAACTTATAGCTGGCTGGGGTTAGAAAAGTCTTTACATAGTCAATTAAAACTAAATCTCCTACAAGCTATGTGGAAAGGCATATCAAGACACAAAACGTCTAATGGAAACCTTACAGATGAGTTGTCATTAATGCTTCAGAGGATGGAAGAGTTCTGTCTCAAAAAACCAATGGGTCATTGTGGTACCCAGAGTGTGGTACAGAGGAAGGAGAGGAGAGATTAGATAGAATGACAAAATGGGTCAGGTTGAGAAAGACATGTAAAATCAAGTTTAGAAGTATGGATTTGAATCCAAGTGTGGTAGTCCACAGCTGTAATCCTAGCACTTAGGTGTCAGAAGCAGAATGATAGGCTACATTTCAAATTCTAGGCCAACCAGGATAGAAAGAGAGACCCTGTCTCAAAAAAACAAAAAAACAAAAAACTATGGATTTGACTCTAAAGGCAATAGGATGCTAAAAAGGACTTTAAGGAGAGACTGGAATGTTCAGATCTTTTTTAAAAAGAAAGCCAATTAGCTCCAGGGATATTTAAGAAGTTGAATGAAAAGCAGTAAAGAATGATGTCCATGCAGCCTAGCCAACTGATCAGTGTGGTCAGTAGTGTCTTCCCTCAGAAAGTAAGCCAAGGTGGCCAAGTTCACTGTGGACAAGTCAAGTTTGGCATCCACGTTGAGATATTAAGTAGCATTTGGATATAAAAATCTAGATTTGAGATAGGGTCTTCATTACAGATGCAAACTTGCAACTGCTTGTATTTATGGAAGCCACAGAGAGGTATCAGAGGGTAGAGTTTAAAATGGAGATCATAAACTTATAGTAGGGTGAATCTGTGGAATTGTGTCATTTTCTTCCATAGAACTTCCAATCCGTTGTATGTGGATGACAGTATGAACTGTAGGACTCATCCAGAGTAAGGTACTGCCAAACAGGACGGACAGAGGTGCAAAGAGGTTAAGAATATTGTCAAAGGAGAAGGTGAAAGCAATCTAAAGTGCCTAGAGAAGTCAATAAAGAAAAAAGAAAGCATCTGACTAGGGAGAACTTTTGAGATGTAAAAGGACATGAGATTTAATTGGGATAGTGAAGTGGAAATTGGGGATACTTGAGTGAGGGAGCAAGAGGAATGCAGCAGTGGCCTAAATTCATAAATTTATAAGAGGACTATTCTAGATAATGAAAAATCTTCATGTGGCCTCTGATGGAAAAAAAGAAGAAGTAAATCCAGGAACTGATTAGACAGGGTATTTAGACGGATTTTATATATTGATGTTGAGTTCATACAGCATGATGACAGGACTTGGCATAGAGAGAAAGAATGAAAAAACACATATCGTATCAAACTGTTCAGAGAATAGGAGATTGACAGGTTCTGATGGGGGTTAGGGATAAAATGAATTGGCCCATGAACTTTTAAAGAAAAGGGGCTTTTGCAGAGAAGGGGGCAGTTGGACAATGACTGGAAGCTGCACTGGGGGATGAGGCAGATTCTCTCCTTCCTCTGCTCCCAGGAGCTTAGAAGAACAAATATCTACCACATGATCATTGAGGCAGAGAAGGGAGTCAGCCAGGGAGTATAGACCTCGGTCTCTGAGAAAAAGGCATGGGTAGTCCAGATTCACTTTGAAGGCCCCAGGGAAACACTGGAGGCAGCAGGGAGGCAGGCTGTGCAATGCAGAGCAGATAACATGTCCATTTCATAGAGGAAAGTCACCTCTGTTCCTTACTGTGTGTTATAAGCCTAATGTTTTCTGACTGTGTTCAGGATCTGAGATATCAAAGGTAGCTGGACACCAGAGACTGGGTTAAACTTAGGCTTGGTAGGTTTGTTAGCTTTTCCACAAAACCTAAAGAATTATAATAAGTTGGCTTCATTTTGTGCCACTCTGAATACCTTGATTATTAAATTTCTACGAAAATGGGAAACTCTGCTGTTAGGTATTTATTCTACACCTTACATGTGACTTTTGATGTGGTGTTGATATGGCAAACTCATGTGCTCCTAATTATTTTCGTACGTAATTTGAAGGAAAATCTTTTCCTTACATGTAAAGTGTTAGGGAAATAATATGTGAAAGGTGTAAAAATGATATTTTTCTTTCTTTTTTGTTTCAGTACCACCAAGTATTTATGGTTCTGATGAACTTGCTGAACTTACAGTCATTGAAGGGAATTTCATTAGTCTCTCATGTGAATCAAGTGGTATTCCACCCCCTAATCTCATTTGGAAAAAGAAAGGTTAGTTTTCATCCATGAAATTTATAAAATATATACATATAAAAGGAATATTTATTTTTTTGGCAAACACGTCAGTTTATAAGCAATCTTTCCTGAACTATGCATACTGAACACGAGACAACAAAATTGCTTTACATTCAATTTCAACATGTAATACTTCTACACAACTGAAAGTCTTCATTTATAAGAATAACTGCTCCCCGGGGGAGGGAACAGTTTTCTTCATTAATTATTTTTCAAATTGATACAAGAAATCAGACCCCAAACTCTTAAGTTGATACAAGAAAGAGTAGGAAATACTCTGGAGTTAGTAGGTATAGGTAAGAACTTTCTCAATGAAACCCCAGCAGCACAGCAACTAAGAGATAGCATAGATAAATGGGACCTTCATAAACTAAAAAGCTTCTGTTCATCAAAAGAAATGGTCTCTAAACTGAGAGACACCCACAGAGTGGGAGAAAATATTTGCCAATTATACATCAGACAAAGACTGATAACCAGAATATACAGGGAACTTAAAAAAACTAAATTCTCCCAAAACTAATGAACCAATAAAGAAATGGGCAAGTGAACTAAACAGAACTTTCTCAAAAGAAGAAATTCAAATGGCCAGAAAACACATGAAAAAATGCTCACCATCTCTAGCAATAAAGGAAATGCAAATTAAAACCACACTAAGATTCCACCTCACCCCTGTTAGAATAGCCATCATCAGCAAACACCCCAACAACAGGTGTTGGCGAGGATGCGGGGAAAAAGGAACCCTCTTACACTGTTGGTGGGAATGTAGACTAGTACAACCACTCTGGAAAAAAATTTGGAGGCTACTTAAAAAGCTGGACATCGATCTACCATTTGATCCAGCAATACCACTCTTGGGATATACCCAAAAGACTGTTACTCCAGAGGCACCTGCACATCCATGTTTATTGCAGCACTATTCACAATAGCCAAGTTATGGAAACAGCCAAGATGCCCCAGCACTGACGAAATGGATTAAGAAAATGTGGTATCTATACACAATGGAATTTTATGCAGCCATGAAGAAGAACGAAATGTTATCATTCGCTGGTAAATGGATGGAATTGGAGAACATCATTCTGAGTGAGGTTAGCCTGGCCCAAAAGACCAAAAATCGTATGTTCTCCCTCATATGTGGACATTAGATCAAGGGCAAACACAACAAGGGATTGGACTATGAGCACATGATAAAAGCGAGAGCACACAAGGGAGGGGTGAGGATAGGTAAGACACCTAAAAAACTAGCTAGCATTTGTTGCCCTTAATGCAGAGAAACTAAAGCAGATACCTTAAAGCAACTGAGGCCAATAGGAAAAGGGGACCAGGAACTAGAGAAAAGGTGAGATCAAAAAGAATTAACCTAGAAGGTAACACACGCACAGGAAATCAATGTGAGTCAATCCCTGTATAGCTATCCTTATCTCAACCAGCAAAACCCCTTGTTCCTTCCTATTATTGCTTTACTCTCTCTACAAAAAATTAGAATAAGGGAAAATAGTTTCTGCTGGGTATTGAGGGGGGGGGAGAGGGAGGGTGGGTGGGTGGTAAGGGAGGGGTGGGGGCAGGGGGGAGAAATGAACCAAGCCTTGTATGCACATATGAATAATAAAAGAAAAAAAAAAAAAAGAATCTACCATTCAAAGAATTAAGTTTTCTTTCATAAACCAGACTAAAAATTTTTTTTCTGAAGTCAACACTTTTGCTACATTTGTGACAGTCTCCCAACATAAGACTAAATCCTGCAATTGACTAGATTTCAACTTATTCATCAACACATTCTTACTTTTGCCCACTAGGTATCAAATAGATTATCTGTATTTTTGTTCAATCCAACTTTTATTCCCTCCCCATTTGTACAGGGCAGGATTATTTTGCATGGTTTTCCGATTTTTAGGTACTTGACCTAGGAAGTAAGTAAATAGTACGTGTACTTATCTGGGAATGTGTATGGAGTACTGTATATTTCTGTCATTTGGATTTCTTTGCAGATTCTCTAGTGCTGGCTGACTCTGTGGGGCGAATTAGGATTTTATCAGGAGGAAGGCAGTTACAAATTTCAATTGCTGAAAAGTCTGATGCAGGTTTCTACACATGTGTGGCATCCAATGTGGCTGGAACTGCAAAGAAAGACTACAAGCTTCACGTTTACGGTAAGCCATGGAGCAGCCAAGCTTTGGGCACAGTTGTTTTTTTTTTTTAAGCTTCCTTCTTTCCCTTTCCTTCTTCTTTAGATCTTTAAGATTCATTCAAAGTGGTATGGTTATAGCTATCATATGACCCATATGTTTAAATTCTGCTCACATAACCGGAGAGCAATTCTTTCTTTCTGTTCTTTACTCAGCAATATGGCTGTCCACTCTGTGTCAGCTTGCCAGTGACAGAAGTGTCCATGTGGCTATAATTTACCAGAGGCAGAAGACAGGATATGTGGAAGGGGAAGAGAGGAGATTGAACTGTAGAGTATATTTATAATACACAAAAATAGTTTATTTTAAAGAATATTTGATTGTAGAAAGTTTTTCAATGTTGTATTATCTCATTTAATTTTAACGTGAACTATTATGTGAGACATGTATATTTTGCACATGTGGGGATTTAAGTTCAGAGACTTTCTATGGCTGACTGAGGTCACATGCCCATGTATGGTAGAACTTTCACTAGAACACAGGCTTGGTGACACTGGCCCACTCTTCTACACACACACACACACTCACACACACACACTCACACACACACACACACACACACACACACACACACACACACATGTATGAGAGTTGGCCTAATTTTTGTTCTTAGAATCACCATCAACTAGGTGAATTAAGCTGAGAAATAATGCCATATCTGTTAGTCCTGACTCTTTTCTAAGTAGTTGGTATTTTGGTGTAAAAATGTACTTAACTTTGACTAACTAAAATTCCTCTGTAGACCTGAAGCAAACATTTCTTACCTTGTTTTTTGTTGTCTCTTTTTCTCCTAGTTCGACCATCTGTAACCAACAGTGGCAGCCACCCTACTGAAATTATTGTGACTCGAGGGAAGAGTATGTCCTTAGAGTGTGAAGTGCAGGGTGTTCCCCAGCCAACATTGACCTGGATGAAAGATGGCCACCCCTTGACCAGGGGGAGGGGAGTGGAAATATTGGATGAAGGTCGCATTCTTCAGCTGAAAAACATTCATGTATCAGACACAGGGCGTTACGTGTGTGTTGCTGTGAATGTAGCAGGAATGACTGACAGAAAATATGACTTAAGTGTACATGGTAAGTAGACAGTGGTTCAATAGGGTCTATTCACTGACTAGGTATAATCTAGCATCCTGGATGAGAAATAAACCTTGACTTAGTCCATCCTAGTCTACATATGTATCACTGCCCTAGCCAAGTCTCATCATTTCTATGTCTGACCTCATGTTATCTACCTTGCTGAGATAAGCACATGTGGGTATATTTTTTGGAAAGCACCTAGTAAAGTAGAAAATTGCCTTCTTCTAGTACTTTTGGTTTTTGGTTTGATGCTGTCTCAGGTAAAATGCCTTAAGTATATGTTTTTCCAAATTAGCTTTCATAACTAAAAGGTAGTACAACCTTGTAGCTTACTGACTCGGCATCTGTTGAGTATGAGTTATACAGAAGTCAGCTTTAAGATTTTAATTAATGAAAGCTATTGGAATACATACATTTGGAAATAAAACTTAATCTATAGAAGCAATGGTAATTTATAACTTGAATCCACGTAAAACTTACACAAAGCTCAGTATTACTATCTTACAGTTTGCAGCCAGTATGTCTGCCAAAGATAAAGGAATCAGAATGTAAAAAAGAGAAAATTATTACCTTTTTTTTTGGTAGTACTGGGGCTTAAACTCAGGGCCTTCACCTTGAGCCACTCCACCAGCCCAGTTTTTTGTGATAGGGTTTTTTTTGGATACGGTTTCCCAAACTGTTTGCCCAGGCTGGCTTCAAACTGCAATCCTTCTGATCTCTGCCTCCTGAGTAGCTAGGACTACAGGTGTGAGCGACCGGTACTGGGCTACCCTTCACTTTTAGGAGGAATTATTTAAAAAAAAAACAAAACACTCCTGTCTATAAGAAGGTCAGGAATCTATATTACAAATTTACCAGGAACGAGCGATGACTCATAGAAAATAGCTCACCATTATTTGGACAGCTTATTGATTAGAGTGGAAGAATATAACACTATAAAAAGACATAATAGCTTATTGTAGTGGTTGCTTATTCTGCTTACTATTAACCAGAAAATGGAAATCTTGTTATTAACAATAACTGCTTGGAATTTGCTGTATGATATATGTTAGCTGCCTTTCTTTCCATTTCCTGTTTGTTTTGTTTGTCTTGCAGCCCCTCCAAGCATCATAGGAAACCATGGGGTACCTGAGAATATCAGTGTGGTGGAAAAGAACTCAGTCTCTCTGACTTGCGAAGCTTCGGGAATCCCTTTGCCTGCAATAACCTGGCTTAAGGATGGGTGGCCTATCAGCCTTGGTAGTTCTATGAGGATTCTCTCAGGTATTATAAATTCTGTAGCCTGGTAATCTGGTTAGCTTCAATATGACCACAATTTCTCTTTAATTTTCCATTTTTAGTGTTTTTATTGTTTTATTTTCCTTTTTTACCTAGCTGCTTATTATGATATTGACCAATCATATTAAGAAAGAAATGTCTAGAAAAATTTTGGGAGCTACAGGAAAATCTTTGAACCTCTTTAGAAACTTCTAAAAATCTTGGCACTGTCTTATTAGTTAAATCATGAAGATGTCAAAGCATTCATGCTATAGTGAGTACCACCCAATCTGAAAAGTGAAAAAGTAAAATTAAACAAAGTGTTGAAATTGAATCTGAAAACTACAGTGAGGCCCTAGAACCAAATATTTCCACTTATCCATGATAAATCTGAATGCTGTTTATATTTCTATAAGGGGAGAGTTTCCCGTGAGCTAAGACTTTATCATTATTTCAGCTTATTCCACTAATTATGTAGCAAAACCTGAATAGCTTATCCTAAAATGAAGGCTTTAGAGAGAGGTCTCTTGAGGCATGACATGAGAATCTAAACTTGAATTATTTTTCTATTAGCTTGAATACAGACTAAGAAGATAATCTTGCTAAGTCTTAAAGTAAAATGCTTAGATACTTAGAAAAATTCCTAATATGTTGAATGGAAGCCTCCAAATTCAAACACACCTCACCATGTGCTGGAATGTTGAGTTAAACCTAACAAGATGAAGGTCAAATAAACTCCTGAGTTATAGCTCCAGAATTCTTAATATGAAAAGATGTATGAATTGTGTTACTTGATACACATTAAGAGACCAATTTTACTCTAGACTTAGCAGACCTTATTAGGAAGACTAGAAGAAGGATTTACTGATGATGTTTGCCAAGGAGGATAAGCATGGTGGTAACTGTAAAATAATTAATATGTCTGATTATATTTGGCCTAGACAAATAGACCGAATGGTGCATTTGGTACATAATGAAAAATAAATTTAAACATTTGAAGTGCCATGGTATGGAGAGGATGATGTGGGTCTGTCTAGTTCCAGAGGTTAAAAATAATGCAGTGTATGGAAGATCCTAGGGACAGGTTTGTGTCTGACAGGAACAGCTTAGGAATATATTTAGTTTATTTTAAGTCCAGATGAGTTGCTCTAAGTGAGAGTAAGCTCTCTGCCCGAACCCTGTTCGAACAGTTTAAATCCCAACTATTGAAGGCTGTTTCAGAAAAGATCTTTTCTGAAAGGAAAGTGTTGGAATTAGGTCTAAATAACTTAAGGGTCTCCTGTTTCTTCCTGACCTGCTCCTGTAAATGATGGGAGCTTGATGAGGTAGGTGCAGTGTTTCTAGCCACACTTTCTGCCCACAGGGCTCATTGTGTTTATGATCTCTGGCAAATGACTTAACTTTGTTCACTGTAGTTTCATCACTTGTAAAATGAAGACATTAACAGTATTTGCGTCTCGGGGTTTTATGAAGATGAAGTGAGTTGCTTTATGTAAAGTAGCCAGCACAGTGCTTATTTCTACCATAAGCATCCAGTGCCTGCTTGTTGTTTGTTGTTGCCAAAGACAACCTGGTAGGATGTTTGCAGTCTCCTCACCCTGGGTAACTTTGCTTTGTCTTTTCCATGATGCTGTGGTTTTCATAGTATTCCCCGTCTCTGTTGTCCTTGAGAAGTGCCAAATAGTGGCAACGGGTTTGTTTCAATTTGGTTACCAAAAACCTGAGCACATGATCTTCTTGTCTTGAACTTATCTGCACATTAAAATTTTTTAATTGCTGAGAAAATAGGAACATATTAAATATGATAACTACATCAGAAGTCCTAGAAATGAAAGAGGCAAGATAGAGTGATGTCCTTTGGGGTTGTTACACGGTACAGGAGTGGTGTTTTGGTTATATTTAGTTGTTTTTTGCTTAAGTAGCAGCTGGAGATCCCTGAGCAAACACATTAAAAAATTTCACCTGTGATGCTGCCAAAGAATTCATTCAGTTTTACTGTCCGGATGTATGTCTTGTGAACAGATGAATGAGAATCAGATGAATGACATAGGACTTGGTCCTGGTTTACTGCCCATTTCTGTCTCACTAAGATAAGTCCTGAGACTTTACACCCAGCCTTTCTGAAAGCAGCACTTCGTGAAAGCTATCATTATTATGAAAGTTATCTGCCATGAACAGATAACTGCTATAAAAATTTAATAAGTACAAAAAACAGTTTCTTATAGGTATAAATTACTGTCAGACTCATTTTTGTTTTCCACTTGATTAAGTGAGAGAACCAAGCAACAAAAATCATGAGACTTAGGAAGCTGAGGTTTATAGAACCGGCAATGACTCATAAAAGTTGTGTTGCTTTAGGATTTTTCAACTGGATTCATATTATGGTCTCACCGATAGGAACTAGCAGTGAGTGGATAAAGCCTAAGTTTTTTAAAATCATGTTAAGGTAATTTCTATATTTGTATACCTAAATTTAGCTGGGAAAAAAGGCTGAATTCAGATAATCAGCCTTGTTTGTTCAAATAAGATAGACCACATTTCCCCTTTCAGTGGCTTGAGAGTGGGAAAGTTGCTTATTAGAAGAGCTCCAACATTAGCTTGTTGTGCTTGTATAAATGGAAAGCAGATTTAAACTCCAAAATCAGGTCCAGGTGAATATTTACATGAAGCTGTCATGTTGACCGATACAATTTTTAGTTCAAATCGAGGGTGCTAAGCAAAAATATACCAGGTAGAAATTATTATGAAATCTAAGAAATGACTTACTTTTTTTCCTGAGACTTTTAAAAAATGATTTGTAGTACTCTACTCTGTGTATCTCTTACTTCTCTGCAGACTCTGTTTCATTTGTTGTATTTAAATGGAGTTTCCCTCCAAATTACACCCTTCAGCGTATCGTTTTCCCTCTCATTCTCATGCATTTCTTGGATGAAGAATATCTCTCTAAACAAGATATTTCATAGAAGTGCACAATATGAAAACAAAGTCAGCCTTGCATTAGTCCATGAAGTCACCTCACGACCTTTGCTGTAAACAGTTCTTAAGATTTCCATGAAACTTACTTGAAATTAGGAAGTCTGTCTTCAGTTTCACCTTTACCTTATATATTGATGTTATTCAAATCATTGCTGATGTAGTTCTCTTACTGACATTCCTGTTTTTCAACAGCAAACTGAGAATCTTTTCCTAAACATCCTGTCATGGTTGTCTTTTTGTTGTTGTTGTTTTATTATTCATATATGCATACAAGGCTTAGGTCATTTCTCCCCCCCTGCCCCCACCCCCTCCGTTAACACCCACTCCACCCCCTCCCTCTCCCCCCAACCCCCTCAATACCCAGCAGAAACTATTTTGCCCTTATCTCTAATTTTATTGAAGAGAGAGTATAAGCAATAATAGGAAGGAACAAGGGTTTTTGCTGGTTGAGATAAGGATAGCTATACAGGGAGTTGACTCACATTAATTTCCTGTGCATGTGGGTTACCTTCTATGTTAATTCTTCTTGATCTAACCTTTTCTCTAGTTCCTGGTCCCCTTTTCCTATTGGCCTCAGTTGCTTTTAAGGTATCTGCTTTAGTTTCTCTGCATTAAGGGCAACAAATGCTAACTAATTTTTTAGGTGTCTTACCTATCCTCATCCCTCCCTTTTTTGCTCTCGCTTTTATCATGTGCTCAAAGTCCAATCCCCTTGTTGTATTTGCCCTGGATCTAATGTCCACATATGAGGGAAAACATACAATTTTTGGTCTTTTGGTCCAGGCTAACCTCACTCAGAATGATGTTCTCCAATTCCATCCATTTACCAGCGAATGCTAACATTTCGTTCTTCTTCATGGCTGCATAAAATTCCATTGTGTATAGATACCACATTTTCTTGATCCATTCGTCAGTAGTGAAACTCCCACTTCTTGCTTTTTGTCACCTAGCATTGCATTTATCTGTAAGTCATCTGCTGGTTTACTTCTCCAGGAGGCAGGACCTTACGGTTGATGCAGACCAGAATAGAGGATGCTGGCCAGTATACTTGTGTTGTAAGGAATGCAGCTGGTGAAGAAAGAAAACTCTTCAGACTTTCAGTATTAGGTACTTGTGTAATTTGTGGTATCTAAGTGAAAAATCCATTCTGGACACCAAATTAAAATTTATTTAGAGTTTGAACTCATACCTATGTGTTGTTTGGCCCGTGGACCATGACTTTTGGCAAGAAGTCAGTGTTAGAATTATTTGGAGACGATCAGTCAGATTAAAACATTTAACTGCCATGTCTTGTTAGTTCACAGTTGATCAGCAGTGTTCTGAGAAGCTGAAGGACTTGTTTAATGTGAGCATTTTTATCTATACTTGCTATTTATATTACAATCAAATTCAGTGTAATTGGACTCATGATATATAATTGTATAATACATATTAAAACTAGAATTGATCAAATGACATTTTGACACTCTAGTGATCAAGAAATAAGTGAGAATTTGGACACTTGTTCTAAACCTTATAGCTTAGTAATCACAGGTGTCTACAAAATAGCATGTTAGAGTTGTAACATTTTTTTCTATGTGCGTGTGTGTGTGTGTGTTTTTAGTACCACCTCATATTGTGGGTGAAAATATATTGGAAGATATGAAGGTAAAAGAGAAGCAGAGCATAACACTGACTTGTGAAGTGACAGGTAAGGGGGTCAGCTCTCATTCATCTGGCATTCAACCCATTCAGTGATACTCATCACCTCTACTATATTTCCTAATTAGTTGAGGAAAAGTACAGTTACTCTAAATAAGCATTTCAAATTCAGTTGTAAAACTGATAGAAATGTGGAGATAAAAAGGAAATTCTTGAAAGAAGGAAGGGAGAGAGAGGAAGGAATAAAGGAAGGGAGGAAAGAAGAAAGGACAGAAGGGAGAAAGGGAAGAAAGAAAAAAAAAGGACAGAAGGGAGAAAGGGAAGAAAGAAAAAAGAAGGACAGAAGGGAAGGGAGGAAAGAAGAAAGGACAGAAGGAAGGGCAGGAAGCAGAGAAGGAAGGAAAAAAGCAAGAAAGGAAAGAAGGAGGGAGGGGGGGTTGGAAAAGGAAGAGCACTGGTCTTTTCTTTCCATTCAATAAATAATTATTTTCATTATTATTATGCTTTGACTTATATGTAAGATTTTCTTGCTCCACCTCCTATTATTTTTGTTTTCTTATATTTCAGCTCAAAGAAATCAGTAGAAATTTGGATAGAAGGGTAACATGACTTGATGGGGGAAATTACCCAAGAATAAAGCTATCACTGTTCGCTAGCATCTTTGCATATTACAAAGACAATAGAGACTAAGAAAAATAAAAATTTGAAAACCAGTTTCCCTATCTTTTACCATCCAATTGGCTTGTTCCATGTAATCAAAATAAATATATATCTAAGAGAATATTTACAAGCCTGTCTTTTTATTGTAGATGACCTTGCGGTTTTATTTTATTTATTTATTTTTATAAATTTTTATTTATTATTCATATGTGCATACAATGCTTGGGTCATTTCTCCCCCCTGCTCCCACCTCCTCCCTTACCACCCACTCCGCCCCCTCCCTCTTCCCCCCACCCCCTTGCTACCCAGCAGAAACTATTTTGCCCTTATCTCTAATTTTGTTGAAGGGAGAGTATAAGCAATAATAGGAAGGAACAAGGGTTTTTGCTAGTTGAAATAAGGATAGCTGACCTTGCAGTTTTAAAAGAGCAATGAGAGTAGCCTACAACATTTTATGGAAAGCTAGTGTTTAAGAAAGGGTTGATAAGTTTCTTATTTCATTGCTTCCATGCCTTGTGTGAGCAGTAAATTTAAATAAGCAAGGAAAGGCAGATATAAAGAGTGTGACATACATGATTACCTCATCTGTCTTTTTTTCTAGAAACATTGTGATAATTAACAACTGCTGAGTAGAGGGCAGTTGCCTACATTTCATAGCGTTCCCTACTCGTTCTTTCCAGTTTTATTGTCACCCTGTCTCATCGTTAATGTGTCTTACTTTTAAATTTTCAAAAAAAAATTCTTTGAACATTTTAAATTTAATATTTAACTTATATCTGCTTTTAAATCATTTTAAAATTTTGTCTATGGACTGTAAATATTAAAGAAAAGATTAATGTATTCATATCTCATCTACATTTCTAAACTAGAATCATGGCATAACCAAAATACCTGCTTTTGAATTATTTATTGTAAGTTTTGCTTTTCTACACCTTTTTCTCAAAAATTTAAAATCTTTAAAAATTTTTCATATGAAAAGTATTCATAATATTTCTAATAAAAGTACGTGTTCCATTCTTTATAAAAGATAGTTTCTATGAATACATGTAATTATCAGAGCTAAAGCATGATACGAACGAACTTAGTTAAAGCACAAAGAATCAATTTAGAATCTTTTCTCTTAGAGATGAAAACTAACCTTCATTTGAAAATGATTTCTAATCTATTGTAAACCTTTAATGATATCATAATCATTATCATATAAAAGAAAAGTTACTTTGTTTTAGGATGAATGGTTGCTTCATTGTTTTAGAAATAGAATATGTAAAAAACAAGCAAAAGAGTACAAGTTGCCTTCTTTCAGTGTTTGTTATTTGTAGACCTGACTATCCGGGCACTCTCAGAAATGGTTTTTCTTACAGGGAATCCTGTGCCAGAAATCACATGGCACAAAGATGGACAGTTTCTCCAAGAAGATGAAACCCATCTCATTATGTCCAGTGGCCGTTCCCTTCAAATTACCAATGCCAAAGTGTCGCACACTGGAAGATATACATGTTTGGCTTCTAATACAGCTGGGGACAAGAGCAAAAGTTTCAGTCTTAATGTTTTTGGTGGGTGTTACCTTTGCTTCAAATCTTGAAGACTCAGCTATGACTATGGACTAAAATCTTTTCTTTCTCTGTTGACTTACTATTTCTATCATATTTCTTTTTTAAAAATTTTTTGTTGCGCTGGGTAGGGCACATTGCGGCATTAATAAAAGTTCTTACAATGTAGCAAATATATCATACTGGAATTCACCCCCTCCATCTATCTCCTTTATCTCTCCTTCCCCTCTCCCCTTTTGGAATAGTTTCAGCAGGTATAATTTTTCCATTTATATGCATGTTTACACAGTATTTGCACTATATTCACCCTCCCACACCCTTCCACCACCTGCTTCCACCTCCCATTGGTATCAACCTCCCCAGGCAGGACCTGTTCTGCCCTCCTGTTCTCCAGTTTTTCAAAAGAAAAAAAAACATTGTTGCATGTTTAAGTTAGCTACTCAGGGAGTTCACTTGTGGCACTTCCCTGTATATATGTGTTATAACCGGATTTGGTTCATCTCTTCTTTTTTTCTTCTTTGTTCCTTAGTCCTTTCTTGTGGTTGTTTTACATTAGGTAAGGGGCAGTATTTCTGTATGTTTGTTGTTTCTCCTTCTTTCATTCATTTGTTCACAAGTTCATTCATTGTTATGGTATACTTACTGCGTTTGAGGGAAGTTACGCTTGTTTTGTGCAAGGGGTAACTTTGAAGAAGTCAAACATTAAACATGTGGTACTAAAGGATAAAATTATGCTGGTCAAAAAGAAGTAGGTAAACAATGAATGAGTTCCAGGCTGAGATATTATTCCCTTTCTTTGTGAGCCTGTCATTATTGGAAATTGTCCTTATTATAGTCTCTATGACCTGAGAGTAATGAAGTAACTACATTTGATACCTTTGTTTCTTACAGCTTCAAAATTATGCCTGTCTCAGAAATGTCATTAAAAGAGACTCTTAGTTTCTGCTTTTTTTTGAAATTTAAAGTATATCATGTAAAGGTATTATATATGATTACTAATATCAAAATAATTCCATATGTTTGTATGCAAATTTTTGTAGTTTGTTTGTTGATTTGTTTATGTGGTTATTGACTGCACTACTTGGGGAGTGGATACATACTCCCATGCACAGGAATAGAGAACACAGGCCTTGGAGAGTTTGCAGTGAAAATGAGCATAAGAGAAGTATGAGCAAGAAAAGTTAAGTGAAATATTAGATAAGGTATTAGTATCAAGTGAGTAGTATATATAAGTAATAGTGTATGTAAATATATATATTGACATATATATATATTGACTGTAAATCCCCATGGTACTGTTAGCCCAGTACCCAATGTAATGTTACATAAAAAGATATGTGGATAAATATGATTGGAAGTTTATGAGCCATGGCTAGAATTATGCCTAGCCTAGGATTACCTCCTCTCTCTGTAGCTCATTGCTTCTTTTAGAACTCTTCTTCATGCCTCATTCCTCACAAGACTGATTCATCTCCCAGTACTTACTCATTTAAAAATCCTGTCCTGTTTCCTTCCTGAAAACCTAAGTAAAAACCCTGCTCCTGGCTGTAATTGAGTCCATATCCAATGAAGATTGCTTATTTTTTATTCTAGGTATCCTTAGTCATGCCATCTTATTACACCACCTTTCCTGCAACCTGCCCCTTTCTGGTTACTTACTGTTCCCTTGTCATTCTCCCTCATTCATTGAAGATTAACAGATCTGAACTGAAGCCTTCTTTTCTACCAGTTTAATGAAGCTGAGGCTCTTCAAGTTTGTGTGTTTGCAATTTCCAGTCTCCCTAGCCTAAACCTGAGTGTCTCTACCCTTTCTTTTTCCAGAGGATGAGTTCCTTCTTGCAGGTATGCCCTTGATCCTGAATCTATCCACCTTCCTTGATGTATCACTTATTCCCACTGAGTGCCCGACTCAACTTCACCTTCTACTGTTTCCACCCCCTTATATTTTAACCACTCCAAGTCTATACTCCATGTCCCACTAAAAATAGGCTTCTACTCACACCATTTTTGACACTGCATGAGAAGACCTATCCTGTTGCTAAGTTCAACAAATATTTTTCAGTCCTGATCTTAATGTTTTATACACAGTTGACTTCTTTCTCCTTGACCGTCTTTTCTACTTATCATTGCACACCTTTGGTTGTTCCCTGTCTCTCTTCCTTTTTGGGCTCTCACTTGATTTGTCTCTTAAACATTGAGATCCCTAGATGTCTGCTCTTACTTCACACTCATTACTCTAGATATTCTCTTCAAGTAATACAGTTCATTCCCAAATGTTTAACAATCATCTCCTATACACTGGTGACATTTAAATTCCATGCCTGCAACCCATATCTCTCTTACAAGGTTCAAATTCCTTTGTAGAATTGTTTGCTGGGATTTCTACCTGAAATATAGGCTTAAAATTTAAAGTTTTCAAAACTAAAAAAATAAAACTTCCCCTCTTAAATAGGCAAATCTTTCTATATGTTCTTTCTATGCTTCTTCATTACAGTTTAACTATGTTCCCAGGGAAGAAAATTTGGACATTATCTTTGACTTCAATTTCCAATAGTCTTCCCCCAATTCTATGATAAGTCCTATTAAGTAAGGCCCTTGGTCTCTCTTTAGTTGGTCTCCCACTTTATGCCTTCTTTCAGTGCTCTAGTTCAGTCCTCATTATCTCTTCCAAACAGATGTACCTGTCTCTTAGTTTTGCTTTCAGTACTAACCAGTTAGAATCCATCCTCCTTCTATTCCCTACTTGCCCCTCAGCGTTTCTTTTCTCTTTTCTTTTTTTTTTTTTTGGCGGTATGGGAGTTTGAACTCTAGGCCCCATGCTTTCTAGGTAGATGACTACCACTTGAGTCATTCCACCATACCCTCTCATTGTTTTTATCCCTCTGTTCCTGATAATGCTGCTTATTTTTCACTAGCATCCCTTCTTTCATCCAATAGACCTCTAATCCTCTAAGGTGCATTTTAAAACCTTCTCTCTAAAGGCTCTTTCCACCCCACAGCATAGACTGTACTGACTGCTGTGCCTCTGTTTGCCTTACACTAATCCGTGTTCCACACTGTCCTTACTCCATCTTGTTACAATTCCATTTTTATATGTTGCCTCTTCCCTTGCCCTGTGAGCTTTTTAAGGAATCTCACTACTTTAGAATAAAATAAAAATGATAATCAATTATTTTTATAACCATTTAGAAACGAAATTGCACAAATAAGTGTGATGGCAATTTAGAAATGTATATAGAATATTTGTAAAGATATTTCACTAATCAAATTTAAAACTTTTTTTTAGTATCTCCTACAATTGCTGGTATAGAGAGTGATAGCAGCCCTGAAGATGTCATTGTTGTCCTTAACAGTCCCACGTCTTTAGTCTGTGAAGCTTATTCATATCCTCCAGCTACCATCACCTGGTTTAAGGATGGAGCTTCTTTACAATCCAACCGAAATATTCGTATTCTTCCAGGTAATTTATTTACTTATGATGCCTAAGATGCATCTATGTCATCTACCTTTATAGGAAAGCAGGGTCATTGGTTATTTTTTATGAAACTACCTATGTTGTTGGTTGTGTTATGTTCTAATGACATTTTACTGTCTGTGTTTCTGTATATATTTTGTAATGTAAAATACCAAAAATTACTTTTTTCTTTGAAAGATCAGAAAAATACCTAAGTTTATAAAATGCCACAATTTAATTAATTGCTAACATATATTGTAATGTGGAATGACAAAAAGGGTAGGAATTCATTTCTTATTGATTTGAACCTTCAAGGAGAATTGGCATTTAGACTGAGTTTATATCTCTTTAATACCTGGCAATATGTATGAAAATAGAAAGAATTGAATAGTATATTTGCTGGATTTAAGTCATTTAAAGTCTTATGTGGAGGAGAAATATTATGTAAGAAAAGCTTCTTAACAACATGAATTTGTGAATAATCATGGGTTATAAATAGTGAGGGGTTATGAAAAATGGAGTAATGGCAAGTATTATAAGAATTTAACAATGAAAATAGTTACCTGGGGCTATCAGAGTGCTCAAGTGGTAGAGCACCTGCCTAGCAAGCATGAGGTCCTGAATTCAAATCCCAGTACTGCAAAAAAAAAAAATAAATAACACAAAACCCAAAGTTGACTGTGGGCTGTAGTGGTCAGAAGAAGCTTTGTTGCTTAGTTAGAATGTGGACCAGAGTTTAAAGTAAGTTTCAAAATTTAGTTGATCAGGGTGAGTTGGGAGAGGTTTCAGATCCATCAGGATGATTAGTGTGAGAAAGGTTTAAACAGAATGGCTAGCCCATATGTAAGCATTAATAAGTAGACTTCTTCTCAGCCACTACTTGAATGGAAACATTGTATTTGTGTTGACAGAGATGGGCTAGAGATAAGGTCAGGAAGAAAAAGTTGGAGGTCATATATTGAATGCCTGGATTAAAGAGTTTTGACATCCTGCATTAGACACTTGTATGCCCTAGGAGAGTTTTAAGGAAGAAGACACCATAATGAAAAGTGTGTTTTAGCACAATTAATCTCTACCACTAGACCAGGTAGATGAGAGGAAAAAGGCAATTAATGCAGAAATATAAAGAGAGTAAAAGAAGGAGCTTATCTAGAGTGGTGTGCAGAGGCAGGGGCGTGTCAGAAAGGGAGTGAGAATCGTCACTGCAGAGAACCTCTGGGGACCTAGGGACTGTACTCACTGGCCATGCAGTGCCCATCTATACTGTACTTAGTCTTATATGAAGCATCTACTGTAGATTTGGCATATATAAGAAGAAACATGTTCAAAGTCCTGTGCATACTCTGTTGCCACTGTGATGTCAGAGATTCTTTGATGTTCCATGATTTTTTAGGAGGTAGAACTCTGCAGATCCTGAATGCACAGGAGGACAATGCTGGAAGATACTCTTGTGTGGCCACTAATGAGGCTGGGGAAATGATAAAGCACTATGAAGTGAAGGTCTACAGTAAGTTCTGAGGGAACACGATGTTCCATATCGTCTTTAACTATAACTTTTTCAACCCCCTTTTTCATTATGGTTTTATAATTGCTTTATAATGATCATTAAAGACTCTTATTATCTAGCGCTCTTCATTAATGATGGAAATTGAACATTAAGCCCGTGACCTCAATTGCTTAAGGACATGAAGACCCCACTCACTCTGCTGGACACCCTCTCATTGATGACCTTTTACTGGCATATCCTTAAATTTTTCTATTTTCCCTTCTGACTTCCTCTCTGGACTAAGTTATAGTAGTTTCCAGTACAAATTTGTTATCTAAATGCATATGCCCTAATCCAGAACCCAAAATGAGATCGTCAGTGATTTGGGGCTATTGCAGTGTACATTCATCTATAAATGAAAGGTAACGGTAATGCTGCCATTAGTGGGACCCACATTTCAAGATTTTTATTCCCATTTTTACAAAGAAAGAATATTTTTTTTTCATTTTTCTTTTATTATTCATATGTGCATACAAGGCTTGGTTCATTTCTCCCCCCTGCCCCCACCCCCTCCCTTACCACCCACTCCGCCCCCTCCCTCCCCGCCCCCCAATACCCAGCAGAAACTATTTTGCCCTTATTTCTAATTTTGTTGTAGAGAGAGTATAAGCAATAATAGGAAGGAACAAGGGTTTTTGCTGGTTGAGATAAGGATAGCTATACAGGGCATTGACTCACATTGATTTCCTGTGCGTGGGTGTTACCAGAAAGAATATTTTGTGATTATCATTTGTTCTTTGACTCAGTACCAGCAATAAAATGCATTTTATGGCTCATGCTTAGTCTTTGCCTGTGGGTGAGAAACAAAGGAAACTAGCTGTTCTCAGATGGACATTGGCCTCACTGGCAGTTTTACAATGATGAAGGGAGAGAGATAGTTTTCTTCACATCCTGTATGTGAATACTATTGTTTCCTAAGGTGCTTACTTAAGACCTTTCTGAAAGGTCAGCATAGGAAATACTCCTGTCATTTTCTTGTTAAATAATCATCACTGTGCGTTCCATGGTATGCCATGTATTTGAAAAACAACAATGCTTAACTGTGTAATATCCATTTTAATGCAGTTCCACCCATCATCAATAAAGGGGACCTTTTGGGGCCAGGTCTTTCCCCTAAAGAAGTGAAGATCAAAGTAAACAACACCCTGACTTTGGAATGTGAAGCTTATGCGATTCCTTCTGCCTCCCTCAGTTGGTACAAGGACGGACAGGCCAGTCACAATGATTTTTATTTACTGATAATTCTGAAAGAATAAGATAGCCAGTTTCAAAAAAGAAAACAGGCACAAGTGATTTGGAGAATCATTGTGACCTTAAAAGTAGCCAGCTCCATGCTCCCAGAATCTGAAACTGCTAGGAAAAGAACAAACAAACCTGAAAGATGTTCTACAGTTTGGTATTGTTCCATCACTGGGATGTTTGTAGGTTTGTGCTTGTGTGTGTTAGCAGTTGACTATGAAAATCTGGCTACCTTCCCACTGGAGAAGATGGGGAACAGTGTATCTTTTCTGTGGTTTCACAAAATTAGTAAACTTTTGAAGAGAAGAAACACATACTCTGTGCTTCGCCAGATGGGTATGAGTATTAAAGTTACTCAGGATCTTCTCTAAATACATGTAACACTTTCATAAAAGGTAACATTTTTATATTCCCAAATAAGGGAAGGGAAAGCTAAGATGATGAAGAGCCAATATGGTTTCCTGGGGGTACTGAGAAACATTAAGTGAAAGGCAGGTCCTTCCTTCTCTGATCTGACTTTGAGACCACACACCCAATTTCTCACTCAGCTTTTGTTCTTCCATGCATGTTATAAAGACATATGTGTTAGTGTTCTTAGGCCAAAATAGAGTCTTAGCTGCTGTTAACATTGTTTAATACAGATGTGAAATAGCTAAGCTGCTGTTTATCCTCTTTTTCACATAATCAACCAAATGGCTAGTTACTTTCCAGTCGTACAAGTTCAGGTCATAGCCATGATTTAAGATGTAGGAAAGACGTAGCTTCATTTTCTCAAATCCCAGATGGATTTGCAGCTCAGAAAAAGAAAAATCATCTTGTATAAAGTAAGCAATTTTCATCTGGAAGGCATCGAAAAAGAAAATACAGAACTCCCACCATGTTCTGTTTGTAGTTTCTTTTCTGACTCTGAGCATATTTCATAGGACAATATCAATTCTATTTAAGTTTACTTGGAAACAAATAATTTCGTTGTCCTTTGAAATTATAGTAACACTATTTTTAATTTTCTCAAAATCTTTTTCATTCTTTATAGTTACTACACATATTATGCATGTACACATAATAACTTAGTAAAGACTAGAATTTCAGTAGAAATGAGGCGGTTTTTAAAATGTCAGAATGAATGGTTAAATTTCAGTTTTGAACTCAGATCCTGAAATTGGTCGAATTATGATTGAAACTGCTAAATTTTTAGCATTTGGGATTGGCTCCCTAGAATATGAACAAGAAATACTGTTTTAATATATTTTCTATATCATTTCTTCTGTTGCTTCTTTCTTTACATGAGCAACAACTGCAACTTGAGTATAGCAGTGTTTTTCAGAAAACCACAAAATATATTGGTAGTATTGGCATAATACATTTTAATAGAATCTTTTAGTTTTATTTATTCATGCCCTGAAGTTTCAGTTTGAAGATAGAAAATTTTAAAAACTGTCCTTTTTTATATTTGATATAAAGTTAATAAGGATTCATTGCATTCCAAATTGTTTATTAAGCACCTGTTATTTGCAAGACATTACTTTAGGTATCAGGGAAAGAAGCAGAAAAAAAATCTCTGCCTGTATAAGTTTGCGGCTACCAAAACTAATAAACAAGCTGATAAAACACAGACTGTATCAGGTGGGTCTGGTGTCACACAGAAGTGTCAGTCAGGGAGTGTGATCGCTTATTTAAATAGGAAAATTCCCGTGATAAGGTATTATTTAAGCAGAAACCCAAAGAAAATGAAGGAAGCAGACGTAAACTATCAGAGGGGAAAATATTCCTAAGTACAACGTTCAGCAAGGGCAAAGGCCCCAAGATATTGGGGCTGGAGTGCAGTAACCAACAGGAACACAGAAGATAAAGTCAGAGTAATATGGGGCTGGATCATAGTGCCCAGTAGACCAGTGTGCCCTTTTTTTCTGATGGGAAGCCAACTGGAAACTTTGGACAGAAGATTAAAATGGTGTGCTATGACATAAGATTTCAAAGATTCCATTGGCTTCTATAGATGATGAAGAAAAAGGGGTGAGTTCTGCAGTTGTTAACAGCAGTCCAGAAGACAAATGGTCCTTGTTCGGAAAAAAGTAATAACAGGATGTAGGTTGTGAAAGAGAAATGAGTCCAAGATTTTATATGAGATCATTAGGAGAGTGATATTGAGAGAAGAAATACAAAGCTTAAGCTTTCAGGTTCTCCACTTGGAAGCTGAGGAGGAGGGACAAAGGGTAAATAAAGGTATCTGAAAATGAAACGAGGGAAACTATATCAGATACCACTGACAGGTGAAGACTTAGAATTGGAGCAATAAATCTAGCAACATGCATGCCATTGATGACCTGACAAACCTTTTTGGTTAAGAAGAGATTAGTTCAAAAGCATAGGAACTAAATTGAACACAGCATGTGTTTATAATATTTTAAAATAATTTTCTATAAAGGGCAGCAGAAAATGTGGAGGTAGGCTGCAGCAAGAGATTGGTTTTTTTCTTGTAAGATTGAAAGTAATAAGTTGAAGATGAGGTAAGTGAGAGAAGACACTGGAGGGATGTCCTTTGAGTAGACCTAGAGAGTCTCAGAATGGGCAGAGATTGGACTTAATCAGAGTTAAGATTTTTCAAGCAGAAAAATATATAGAGAGAAGAGGTGAGGGAGTTGAGGGCTTTTTCAAAGAGTGATTATTATGATAGTCCTTTTCTGGGTAAGAAGGGAATACAATTGGGAGGAAAATGAGAAGCAGTGAAAAGATTGCAAGGCCAGTGGAATATGGGTCCTCCAATGCGGTCAAACTGGAGTTGGAATTCTAGAGGAAGTGGGTTAAAAAGTTAGGAGGTGGTAGTCAGAGAATGAGCTCTTGAACTGAGAGCATGAGGTGTTCAGTTACTGTAATAATCAGGTCTAGGTATGATTCTTCTACATAGTGGTTGAGAAAGGGTGGGGGACAAAAGATTTAAAGGACACGAGGCCAGGATCTGAGAGAACACAGCTTTAGATGACTGTCTGTGGGTATTGAAATCACTATAAATTATGAGAACAATGTCATTAGAATGAATGACAGTGAACCAGAAGCTAAAAGCTTCAGGAAATGAAAGGAAATGTAATAGTAATTTTAATAAGACTTCATAATATCACTAGCTTAAATATTTTTGCTTATAAAGTAATGGTGCATCTGAATAAATAATAATTTATACCAAACCAGATTGTGCTAATACTCTCAATTTTTCAGAGAAAGTTTAGCATTTCTACACAATTACCTAGAAGACACACACTTTGTAAATACTAAATGAGACTACCTGGTATGATGATGATACCCTGAAGTATATTTTTTATCATAAAAAAATATATAAATGCATCACTCATAAATACCTAGCACAAACGAAAGCCATGTCAGCAATAATTTTCAATAAAAAGTTTCCTTGCTCCAAAGCCAATTTAATCTAAGTAGATTAATTAGTCCTATCTTGAATGGTTTGCATAAAATTTTAATTTTATTTATTAAGGAATCTTGAAAATGATTAACTGCTTGTTCTCTTAGAGGATTTATTAGAAAACTTAGTACTAATCTTATTATAATTGAATTATAGCTCCTTAAATCAGATGATCATGTTAACATTGCTGCAAATGGACACACACTTCAAATAAAGGAAGCTCAAATATCAGATACTGGACGATATACTTGTGTTGCATCTAACCTTGCTGGTGAAGATGAGTTGGATTTTGATGTGAATATACAAGGTAACACTTTTATGCTTATTACATGATCTATGAAAGTAGTGGAAAAGGCATCTGACTTGCCTTATTTTAAGTTGTCTTATTTCCTGTTGGGAATAATATAAATTCATTAGTGGAAATTTGAACTCAAGAAAGTTAGGAAGAGGCTGGGTGCAGTCGCTCATGCTGCTGTAATCCCAGCTGCTCAGGGGGCAGAGATTGGAGGATGACAGTTTACAGCCAGCCCAGAGCCAAAAGTATGTGTGATCCTACCTCAACCAAAGACTGGGCATAGTGACATTTACCTATCATTCCAGCTACATAAGAAGCATAGATTGGAAGCTCGTGGTCCAGGCTGGTCAAGCCATAAAGCAAGGCCCTATCTCAAAAACAACCCAAGCAAAAAGGGTTGGCAGTGTGGTTCAAGTGGTAGAGCATCTGCCAAGCAAGTGTGAGACCCTGAGTCCAAACCCCAGAACAGGAAAAGGAAGAAGAAAATGATCTCATCACCCAAAATTACCTCTGTTTATTGTATTTCCTTTTGATATTGATAAGTATATACTTCATTTACAGAATTAGAGCGTACAACTGGATGCTCATGTGACATTAGTGTGGAGAGTGGATTATGAGAAGCCTGTGAGAACTGGACATTAACACAGCTGTACCCAATGTTCTGTATGCTGAGTTTGGCACAGCCCCAGCCACAGAATAGGGCAAGAATAAAATGCAGAGCAGCTGCTTTTTCTAAGATGTTTATCTGTAGGCTGAGATTGGCACAGCCCCAGCCACAGAAGAGGAAAATGCAAAACAGCTGCTTTTCCTAAGTTGATTGTGTTCAGAGAGTAGCAATTGCAGGTTTCTGTTGTTACAATGTTATCTCCCTCTGGAGAGCTGTTGCGCCATCTCCCTGTTTACCACTGGATATAAAAGACTTGCTGGAGGAGGACAGTAGGCTTTTGCTTTTGGCTTTAGGTTTTTTGGCTTTTGGCTTTTTGGATGTGGGAGGCTTTGGGAAGGGAAAAGCATTGCTGAAGGGAAAAGGATTGGTGACAGGAAATGAATTGCTGAAGGAGAATTGCTAAGGAGGAGTTGCTAAAGAGGGGTTGATAGAAAGTCTGCACAGAGAACTTTATACATAGGCTTTAGAAAAGCTAAGCTAAAGAAAACATGGGACAGTACAAGTCTGAGCACCAAGGCTTTAAGAAAGCTAAAGAGAGAACATGGGACAGTGCAAGTCTGGGGACAAAGACTTTATTTACCTGAGATTATGCTGAAGAATAGCTAAGAGAAAACATGGGACAGAGCAAGTCTAAGGAAAGAGACTTTAAAGAATAGAAAAGACTTTTAAAAGCAAGGTTTTAAGGAAAGACTTTAGAAGCAAGGTTTTAAAGAATTGTAAAAGAGTAAGGCCTTAAAGAATAAAGATAGAGGAAAGAAGCAGAGTAAATGAAGAGAATAATAGAGAAAGGAAGCAATGAAGGTTGTGCATCTCCACCCTAGCGCCCAACACATCTGGCCCCAACTTTCTGTCTGTCTGTCTATCCTGTGTCCTTTCTGCATCTCCCGTTGCCACCCAGTTAGCCCCAGTTAGGTTTGGTAGTAACAGGAACAAGAGAAAAAGTTCACTCCACATTAGTATTCCCCTAAAATTGTATCATGAAGTGCTAAGAATAACAGACAGAAAAGCAATTAAAACAAAATTCCAAGTAGCCTTTGAATTTGATGATAATCACAGCTCCTACAAGCTTGTGACCTGAGAAAATTTCTTGAATATCCTAAGCCTCTATTCCTCACTTAAAATTAATGCCCTGTAGAGTTGCTGTGAATACAAAATGAGATGAAGTATAGATGCTCTTGGAAAAGTGACTGAGAAATATAACTGCCATTGAAGTTGGTGATACTGTTTTTCTGGAGGTTACTATTATTCAACATGATTGATTTTTTTTGGTTCTGGGACTGAACCTGGGGCCTCACACATGTTCAGTAAGCTCTCTACCCCTGAGCTGTGCCCTCAGCCCTCAGCACAATTTTTAATAACTAGACCTCTTTCATCATTTAAATATTATCCAAATATTTGTTTACCCAGACTCCTATTATTGAATATCTGTGTTGTTTCCAAGCTTTCATTACTTGTAAATAATGCTACACTGATCATCTGTATACATAAAAGTTTTCCCTATCTTGCTTTTTCATAAGTGGGTACAAGTAGAACGTTTAGGTATTAAGTCATACACTTTTTAAATGTTCTTGATGTATAGAAAAATTGCCTTCAAGAAATTTAAGACTTTTTCCCAGAAAAGTATGAAGAGGACTTTTTAATCTTGATTGCATAAATTCTTTTAGACTCTTTAGGAAGACAGATGCTTTCAGTTGAGCCAGTACTTTTTAGTGGTCCCTCAAAATTAGTCTTTGTTCTAAAATCATATTCCTTAGCCTTGGTCCTTCCTGAGAGCAGACCCCTGTATTGTCCAAGTGTTGGAGCCCTTTCCAGAGTGAGTAAAGCAGGGATGTAGCCTTCTGAACCCTGTATTCTTTGTTGTTCCACATGAGGGCTAGTTGTGACGTCTGTCTCTGTTTAGCTACAGATTAATGTTGGTAGATGTATAAGTACTTGAATGAATTTCACACTGTCTAATTTATTATGTGTACAAATCACTTGTCAAAATACAGTCAAAGTCTTTATTTAGTGGATTGGCACTGAATCTTTGCTCTTGACCAAAGTCGAATGCTTTTTTTGTTTTCACAGTTCCTCCAAGTTTTCAGAAACTCTGGGAGATAGGAAACATGTTAGATACTGGCCGGAGTGGTGAAGCCAAAGACGTGATTATCAACAATCCCATCTCTCTTCACTGTGAGACAAATGCTGCTCCTCCTCCTACACTGACATGGTACAAAGATGGCCGCCCCCTGACTTCAAGTGACAGAGTGTTGATTTTACCAGGTATAGATTGACACCAAAGGTGAAAGCGTGAATCTCTACCAAATGTGTCTCTTCTTGTTCATGACTGGCTCTCTGGCTATGTCATTTAACTGGCACATAGGTTGCTGGATGCCTCTGGTATTCATGTGACTTCCATTACCCAGCTGGAAGAATGTAGCTTGAGGATTTAGCGGTAGGATAGAATATCGTAGTAAAATTTTTAGATCTTCTGCAGGGTTACTATCAATTTATGAAATCCTGGCCTACTTGTGCCTCCTTTGCTCTTCCAATGTAATGAGATAACCAGTTTGGCTGTATACATTACTTACCTAATTTCTCATACATACTTGCAAATAGTTTCTACAAAATTTATCAAACACAGTTACCATAAGGAAAGGACAAAGATTATTAGTTTCAAATATTTAGTTATTGAATAGTTTGTTGATGGAAAAGGTGTTTAAATTGTCTTAGAATAATACTTTGGAGGATTCAAGGTCATTTTAATAAGCATTCAAATGTCAGAGCTCATCAAAACTCACAAAACTGTACATTAGGTCAGGGCATTAAATAAAGATATATAAAATTGACTTGCATTAAGTGAAAGAATATCTTTAAAAATAAAAAAATGACAGGAGACTAAATAGACATCATAACTATATGTAATATGTGATCCTAAATAGATCTAGGTTGGGGCAAAATGGCTATAAAAAGCATAATGCAACAATAATGAAATTTTACTAGGAGCTATGGATTCAATAGTACTTTGTATTAATTTTAAATTTCCTGCTTTTGATCATTACATTGTGATTATTCAATAGATTAACCTTGTTCTTTTGAAATACAGATTTATGAGTATTTAGGATTAACTCTCAAAATAACTCTCAAATGGTGCAAAAGCAGATTATATGCCTGTGACAAAGAGATACAATATATGGCGTGAAATATAAATAATTAGTAAGCATGGATAGAAGTTTTATGTAATTATTGTAACTTTTCTCCAAGTATGAAATATTAACATAAAATGTTTTTAAAGCCATGCATTGTGGCACACATCTGTAATCTCAGCTACTCAGGAAGTGGAAGTAGGAGGATCAAGAGTTCAACATAGGCCCAGGCAAAGTTAGCTCGAGATACTCTCTGAAAAACAAAACAGACAGATGGGGGCATGACTCATGCATGACTCGTGTAGAACACTTGCAAACGTGAATCCCTGAGTTCAATTCCCAGTACTTCCAAAAAAATTTTAAAAATTAAAGTTCACAGAGCTATTATTTCAAGGTTGTATGTATAGTGGTATACTTTATATTTTTAAATCCCTGGATATTATCTTCTCAAGTAAATTCTTGTAGGAAACACTGCAAATGTCTATTCAGAGTACTCAAAATTGGGCAGGTGGTAAACACTTACAATCCCAGCTACTCAAGAGGTAGGAGGATCATGAATTTGAGCACCATGCCAAAAAAAAAAAAGTATTAAAAACTGCAATGACAAGACTTCACTGCCTGATAGGATAATCTCCCATATGGGTCATGTTTACAAGTGCAGAGTAGCATTGTTCCCTCTAGGAAAATTTACATAACTATTCATTTTTTCTCAGGAAGCTGACTTATATTACAACATTGGATTACTGTTTAATAACACAGTGTTTGTTGTAATAGTGGAGAGTATCTGAGATGAAGGTGAATGGTTGGGTGAAGTAGGAACCTTGAAAAAAGATGTAAGGAAGTCATTAGACCTGAGAAGACATGTCTCTGTTATTGTCTGGGTCTCTGGAACATTTGGAAATGTAAACACACCAGGCTATGTTTTCAGGAGGGCAAGTGCTGCAGATTCCCCGGGCTACAGCAGATGATGCTGGGAGGTACACATGTGTGGCTGTGAATGAGGCGGGGCAAGATTCCCTTCAGTATGATGTCCGCATACTCTGTAAGTTTGGTTTTTTTGTTGTTGTTTATCATTCATGCTGTCACTCAGAAATGTCTTTCAGGAACTGATGTTTGTAAGACGTTACTCTATGCACTTTAGAGACTATAAAGATAATCAGAAACTGATAGCTCTTCCAAGGAACTAATTGTCCTATAGACAGATTGAAAGCACATTAGTTAGGACTTCTGAGGTCTCAAGTAATAAAATTGCTTAAACCTGAAAAGAAGAGAATTCATTGAACTTGTGAATCTGAAAAGTCCCAGAATATAGCCAGTTGTAATCAAGTCGTCGAGGTCACACATACTTTACCTTTCTTTTTACTCTTGACTGTATTTTTCTTTATTGATATGGCTCTCATACTGATTCCACTGGATAGCAAGTTGGCCTCTAGCAGCTCTAAACTTACATCCTCCCAATTTCATATCCGAAAGGAAATTTTCTCTCCTAGTGTTTATTTATTTATTCAACAGTACTAGGGATTGAATTCAGGGCCTCATGTTTGCAAAGCAAACACTCTACCACTTGAGGCATGCCCCAATCCTTTTGCTTTTTAGCTTGTTTTTCAGATAGGGTCTCATGCTTTTGCCTGGGCTGGCCTCAGACCTGGATCCTCCTAACTCTGCCTCCTGAGTAGCAGGGAATATAGGCATATGCCACTAAGCACAGGTCTCTCCTAGTGTTTATAGTCCTAAAATTGACTTTCCATGGTTTTAGTGGACAAAGTGTAAGTAACATATCCACCTGTAATACAATTACAGATTCAGAGGGGTTGCATTGTTCAAATTGACAAGGACTAATTCATATGCCCACTCTGGAGCCAGTCATCTCCATCTGAAGGCATGGACAGCAAGTGGAAGAAGTATGGTATCTTTAAGGGAAAGACAAGTGAAACAGGAGCAAATAGATGTTCTTCTGGAAGAAGCTGAGCTAGACAAGTGGCAGAAGGAATCTGTAGGAGGAGGTCAGAATGAAAGATTTCATAGAGGAAGAAATTAAATGATGTGAAATTATTAGGCACTCATCTCAAGTGTAAGGTGACACTGAGATTTTTATCCCAAGTAACTAAGAAAGTGGTAGCAAGATTGATGGAAATAAAAGACCTGGGAAAACATCACAATTTAGGAAGGAAGGAAGTCAGTTTCATTTCTGACATGTTGAATTTGACAGAGTTCCAAAATACTTAGGTATAATGTTAACTGGACAGTTAGAAATAAGGAACTGCTCTGTAGGAGAAAGAACTGAACTGAGAGTGTGGCTTTGACAGTTGTCTGCAAATAGGTGACATTCAAAGACGAGATTCCCAACAGAAAGGTTTGGATTTCTGGCCAAAGAAGATTGTGAGGGATCCTTTTCAGTTAGAGAAAGGAAAGGCACACAGCTTGTGAAGGAGTCAACGGAAACCAGTAACATTGTCCCGGGATCCAAGGTTGAGAAGAGGTTATCAAGAGTAGGTCTTGGGCTTGGATTGGGCTTGGAGTGTAGCTTGGTGGTAGATCACTTGCTGTATGCACAAGGCCCTGGGTTCCATCCACAGCACAGAAGAAGAAGGAGAAGATGAAGGTATTAAGTACTGAATGCTGAAATTAATTTAGGAGAACAAAAACTGAGAAGAAAGAGTGGCAGGAATGGAATGTGGGCCTGTGGGTAGCGGAAAATGTTTGCATTCGCCCCTATGGGGAACTTAACAGCGTGAGGCTAGAGGCATTTAGTTATTGCTGTCTGCAGTCACCTGAGTAACCTGGAGGCAGAGGTATAAAAAAATTAAAAATCCAGATGTTGTGGTCTATTTGGGAGTGGGAGGGGTGTCACAGGTACACATTGCCAAAGCACTGGAGAATGAGGCAGCATAAAATGTCAGTATGATAGGGCATGGATGAAGGGATCCACTATGGACTCTGGACTATCAGAGAGGAGAGAGAAGCCTGGAGTGAGGAGTGCAATGGCTAGAGTTGTCAGTGCAAACAAAGAGCAACCTATAAAGGAAGCCCTGAAAAGAGGTGCAAGAAAGAAGACACTGAAATTCATAATTTATTTGACAAATACCTAATTCATTGCTCACTATGTGCCAAGAACTCTGCCGGACTTTGAGGACACAGCAGCAAATTTGGTAGGCATCAGTAAAAAAATCACATTAACTTTGAATGTTATTTTAAAATACCATTGAAATTCTGTTATGTACTTTGTAGCATTGGTTATTTTCTTTACAGAATTAAGGTTTAATTGTTGGAGACACCAAATACCACAAGATTACATTTACAATATACTCACTCTTCACTGATTATTAAAAATATGGTTTACTTTAACAGAGTGAAACAAAAAACAGCCAAGCTTTCATAACAAAAGGATGATTCTTTACTTTGAAAATAAGTATCCACATTTACCAAAAGCAGCTAACATGTGTGGTCCTAATTTAGTTAACATTCCCACTTTTTATTCTTTAGATAACACATGATTTTTCATAACATGTTCATTGGCTCCACAGCATTTTTTAAGTGAAATTGAATCTATGTAGGAAAATCTAGAGCTGGACTTCTCAAACTTTAGCATGCATGTGGAATACCTGGAAAAGTTGCTGGAAAGTTGATTTTTTTTTTGCCACACCTTAAAGAAACCTGTGGAGGAGGTCCTTTTGGGGCCCAAGAATTTGCAATTATTGCCAAGCTCCCAGGCCACCTGATGCTGATACCATTGATGAGGCTGGGAGGCACACTCAGAACAGCTCACATGACTCCCTTACAAAGAAAACCAAATCTGAACATTTCAAATGTGCTTTAAAAGTGGTAATTATCTGACTTGTATTGAGGACAACATAGTGTTAAATATTGATTTGTACAAATGCTTCTTGTACATACGGCTGTAAATCCAGAAGGCATAGTGGAAAGGCTGAGAGAGAAGCAAGACGGGAGATATGGGGAAGAACTGGGATTAATCTAAATGGGAGTGATACTGTTTAATGAGTTAGTCTGGGCTAGATAAAAGAGGGAAGAGAAGAAATCCAAATCCAAGTACTTTTCTCTCCACCCCAATTTATTAGTAAATGTTACTTGAGGATTGTGGTTTCTCCTTCAAGTTTTACTTCTCCATGATCATCCCAATTTTTTTAAAGCTGCCAGAAAACTAGAATAATTTAGGAAAGTGCTGTTGTCTGTCCATATCTCTTCATTGCTATCACTTCTTAGTACCACCAGTTATCAAGGGAGCAAATGGTGACCTCCCTGAAGAGGTCACCGTGCTGGTGAACAAGAGTGCCCAGTTGGAATGTTCTTCCAGTGGTAGCCCAGCACCAAAGAAGGCATGGCAGAAGGATGGACAGCCCTTGCTAGAAGATGACCATTACAAATTTCTATCAAATGGAAGAATTCTGCAGGTAAAATTTAAAAATTTGGAAATAGCTATTTGACTTTGCACTTTATTTATCATAATTATCTTTTAGACTTTTAAAAATGATTTTATGAAATTATAAACATTTGTTTATTAAGATAACTGATCAAGAGCATGTAAAATAAACTTATTCCTTTCTTTACTTCCACTATTAGAAATGACCACTGTTAACACTTTTGTATGAATTTTTCCAAAAATTATTTGTACATACCCATGCCCCTAAATTTACTACGATAAGGTATCCTAAAAGAAAGTAAGGCATGTGCAGAAATAACACCAATTCTTTTATTTGAATACAGATTGATTAAATCACTACTTGAACATAATAAGTGATATTCTCTTGGCCCCAGACCCTAAGCATAACTACAGTGTATCCAACACAGGACATATGTCACAGAGTTCTTTATTCAGAAAAGAATCAGGATAGAGACCTATAAATTACCTTGAATTCTCAAAGTATTATCTAAGCATCATGAATATATCTTGATATATATCTTGATGATTATCAAAATGCTTAAATGTTTTGTCTCTAGAGCCAAAAGATATATAGATGGGTGGCTAAAAAGGTGTGCATAATAAAATAAGCATTCTGCTATATTAGATATTGCCACTTCGAAATGTAATGACTTCAAATAATATTCATCTATTTGTCTCATAAATCTGCTGGTTGGCTGGGTGGTACTTGGTCTCAGCTGTGCCTACTCCAGTGTCTGCATAGAGCTGTGAATTGAATACACGGCTCTGATGGTCTTCTCTGAGCTCTTGCACATACCAGGGACCTCAAACACAGTAACCGGGCTGACTGCCGCATGTGATCACAGTCTCTAGCAGACTAGTCATGGCTTCCTCATCATGGTGGCGGCAGAGTTCAAAACAGTGAGCAAAATACACAGGCCTAAGTCTTCAAATGCTGCACCATCACTTCTTTACAAATTCTGTAACACAAATTCCATCTTTTCTCTACCTCTCGATGAGAGAATCTTCAAGGGCATTAAAAGGGAAATGGGAAAATAATTTGGGATATTGTATAGCCATCATACTATCAATGTGTTTAAAATAGTGTTTTCTGATTGGAAATTTTATAAACAAGTTGTTATTAAATTTTATAAACAAGTTAAAATAGTGTTTTCTGATTGGAAATTTTATAAACAAGTTGTTATTATCTGATTAATTAAAGCCAGCGTCAACACTAGTATGTTTAAAATTCTTTTTCTTAGATTTATCTCCTATTAACCACAAAATGTATACTCACTTTTTAATTACACATATTACAAGTTGCTTTACTAAAAATTTGAGTTGCAGTTTCCTCATTTGTCCCTTAGATTCTAAATACTCAAATAACGGATATCGGCAGGTATGTGTGTGTGGCTGAGAACACGCTGGAAGTGCCAAAAAATATTTTAACCTCAATGTTCACGGTAAGAACTCAGTTCCTAAATCATCTGTAACTCTGTGTTTAGATTATATAGGCTGAATTTCTGTTTGTAACTTCAGCCATCTGTGGAGCCTACATTCATTCCAGTCTCTCTTCTTCTTCCTTCGATAGCTAGTAGAATTTATAGGACTTATAAAATACAAATCTCTTGGGAAGCCCATTGTTATACTGTTTCAGTCCCTTAAGAAAAAGCAGTTACTCTACATAACTGAAAGTAAAATAAAAATTTGAAGTCTCAAAGACTACAAAAGTATGTGAAGGCAGAACCAAATGCAGATCTTCTACTCATAAAAATTCATCTGCTGGTCCTAACTGCAACCAGGTTCTGTTTTAAGCACAGAATTCATATTGACCTGCACCTTCTAGTATCTAACATACTCCCTGAAGAAGAAAAAGTTACTTTGTGGAATTAATTAATAATTCCTTGAAAACCACCAATATACCTAGGTTACTTCTCAAATTTAAGTTCTTATACATACCAAATACTCCATAAATAATTTCTTTACTAAAACAGGCAGGTTATTTCCCACAAAAGAGTAGTTTTATTTTTGTGAAGTGCAAAGCTGCTTCCAGAATATTAGATTTTAAGTGATGAAAATTCCCTTTACGTGAATAGCATCTACAAAATTCTAGCTCATTTGGAAATAGCTAAAATTTTTATTAACATTTCTCCTCTCAGAAGACTTTTATTTAGTATGATGGATTTTTTTGGTTTGATATATAGAATATTAATACCTATCAACTTTTGTTTCTTGTGTAACAATTGTTAGAAACACTTTTATCTTTGTACACCAGTATATAACACAGTGAGTAACACATTATAGGTGTTTAAAAATATCTTTGAGGCTTTTTTAATGAATAAATCTGACCTAAACAGAAACAAATGTGTAATGAATTACCAGAACAAGTAAATTGATTAAGCAAATATAATTATCATACAAGTACATATTCTAATCTATAAGGTATGGTAGAATAAAAAATACTGAAAAATAAAAATTCTGATTATTTTTCCCAGTATTTAAAGGCAATGTTAATTTCTTCTCTGTGTAAACAGAAGCATATGGAAAACACCCCAGTTATAGTTACAAATGTCACATGTTGCACTTATATGTCTGTGTCTGTGCCTCTGTCCCATAACTCCCTTATAAATGTAGACAAATGACCATCTCTCACTCATCTTGGTCTCCTTAAGCCTTGAAAGTTGTCTGTAGTTGTGGGAGTCACTGAATGATTGCTTGTTGATCATTTATTATATTTCCTTCATATGTAAAGCTTCTCCTTAATTCATAGAAGAAATGCCTAGAGCGTGAGTGGGACTGGAGAGGACATGGTCACTAGTGTTTTACCGTTAAGGACTGAAGCTCTGGAGTGTGTTTCCTCTTTTCCCAGTTAGCAGCAGCTTGAGCTTCTGACTGAAGTCAGGAATCCACCACTTAAATACTGGAAAAGCCATTTTTGGGGAAATTATTTAAATTATTTTCACTTAGAACTATACCCTTTGCTATCCCCCTCCACCTCTCAGCTTATTTCTCCTGTGCTCTAATCTTTAGTCTGTTGGCCTTTTGCTTTCTTCACTTTCCTTCACTTCTAGCTCAAGTTTCAAGGACATTTCAACCCTCTTCTTCCCTAAGCCATCTACTCACTCTTGCTTAGTAAAAGCTCAAATCTATAAACAACAAACTGTTAACTACTTAATGGGCCAAATGCTCTGTCAAGTGTTTTATATAGCTTATTTGATGTAATTACCTCAATAACTCCAGAGGCTTGTTGCCTTTTAATACCTCTTAAATACTAATTTAAAAAAGAAAAGGCTTAATGAAATTATGAGATGATGTAACCTGCTCAAAGGTTATACCATTTGCAAATGCAAAACCTGTGTTTTAACCCAGGAAGGCTTATCTGAGAAGTTTTATACTTAGTTTTTCTCTAGTGAGGATATTCTTTTTTCGGTGTGATTTATACTAAATTTCACATTTATACCATACCTGTACTTAGCTAAACATGACTGGAGAAAATCCTGGAGTCAGGAATGTTGGTGTTATACGTTCATAGTCCCAGCTTCAGCTGGGCCCTCCATGGTGCATGGTCTTCCTCCTTCTATCTCTACCCTATTGTGAATCTCATACCTTCTCCTTCTCCTTAGATTTCAAGTGACTGTTGTCTTAGTTTTCTCTGGCTGCTATAATAAAATACCACCATATATGTACCTTAAACCACAGCAATTAATTTTCTCAACGTTCTGGAATTTAGAAAGTCCAAGTCCAGAGTTCCAGAAGGGTAGGTTTCTAGAGAGATCTCTCTTCCTGGCTTGAAGACAGCTGCTTTATCCACACATGACCTCACAAGGCCCTTCAAGAAGCATGCTTGCTTGGAGAGAGAAAGAGAGGGTGAGAGAGAGAGAGAGAGAGAATATGTTCTCTACTGTCTCTTCTTAAGGACACTCATCCTAAAGAATTAGAGCCCCACCCTTATGACCTTATTTGATTTTAATTACTTCCTTAAAGGTCCTACCTCCAAATAAAGACACACAGGTGGCTGGGGCTTCAACATATGAATTTGGGGTGACACATTCAGTCTAAAGCAGCTACCCTCACTTTCTCTCAGCAAATGCCTCACCTCTTGTTTTACAGGGAAAAGACTTATCCCAGAAAACACCTCAAATTCCTGCCATTGAGAGTTTTGCCCACATCTGTTTGGCATTTCTTCTTTCTCTCCTATTACAGCAAAAAAGGGAAGCCTTCCTTTACCTTACCAAAGATTGATCTATGGATCCCTTTCCATACTCCTCAAAAACTCACCTTTTCTTCTCTTTCTCTTGAATATTGAAATTGTCACTCTTTACTGAATCCTTCCCTGTAATACTTAAACATACTTGTCTTCCATCTTAAAGAAGAAAGGTCTCCCTTAGACATATTTTACTTCACTTGCTCCCCTGTTTCAAAGCAATCTTCCCTAATGGCTGTAAGTCTCCTCATACCCACTCCCTCCTCCCACCTCTGCACTACACATTCTGCCTTCATATCTCCACTGAATCTGCTCACTGAGTTCATGAGAGAATATCCTTGCTAATAAGTCCAACAGGCAAGTTCCAGGCTTCATCTTTCTTACTTCAGAGCATTTAACATTCTTGGCCATTATCTTTTCCAAGAAGTCTCCTCCTTTGGTGTCTATGACAACCATGCCCCTTGTTTAGATCTCGCCTTTTTAAGCTGTCATTCCTTGTTGCCTTTTTTGATTTTTAGTGATTCACCCAAATATTACACTAATTTTTCCAAGCTGTAGACTTTATTATCCTCTCATTATTTTCCTAGGTGATCCCAAGCACTCCCAATTTTTCCTTACTGTCCATTACCTTCTTAATTCTATCCTAATATCTACTTATTGATAGAAATGTCCTCTAGTGACCCAATATCATCATATAAAACTAAACCCATAATCTCTTCCCCCAAAATGAAACCTCTTCTCTGTATCTCTGTCTCAGTAAAGGCTGTCAAAATCTGCCCATTGTTCAAGCCAGAAAGATGGATGCCATTCCTGACTACTCTCCTCCTTTAACCTCCCCTCTCATGAGTCCTACAAAATCCCCTGGGACCCACTTTTGTTCATCCTGACACTATTCTAGACAGTTGCCACAATCTTTTTCCCACACTGTAGCAGTAGTCTCCAAATTGATCCTGCTGGGTCCCCACTATCTCTAAGTCAGCCAAATTGATGTGTTTTCAATTATTTTTAAGACATTTCTTCTGCTTCCCATTCTTTAGGCTATATTTCAACATTCTTAATGGTCTCTGGAAGACTCCATAGGATCTTTGTTTAGTTCTCTAATTCTTTACCTCCTCACCCCCACCTTGCTTTATAACTCTGGTGATGCTAGCCTTCTAGCTACCATGTTTTGTTCCCCAACTGGACCTTTGTATATGTTGGGCTTTCTTTCTGGAAGACATACTCATTTTCTGTCTTCCACTGATTCCTGGTAATATTTCAAGTATCTTTTTAAATGTCACTTTATTCTCCTGATTCCTGAACTAGGTTGCTTCCCTTTTGTCAACCTACTGCTCTGATTGACAGTCATGGCACTTGTGATTAGTAGGCAGTATAGAGCAGTGTCTAAGAATAAGGGCTCTAGAGCACAGATGCGTAGTTTCCAGATCTGTTTCTTTCGGTAACTAGCTATAAATCCTTAGGCAAGATGCTAGCCTCCCCGTGTCTCATTTGTAGTTTGAGGATAATAACTGCACAGAATGCCTAAGGTGTGTGAGGACTCAATGAAATTACAATAGCCATGCCTGGCACAGTGTAACCATCAAAGAAAATGTTAGCTGCTACTTTTAGTCCAATGTCTGTTATTACCACCAAATTAACTCCATATGATTGTTGGTGTCTATTAAATTTTCAAATTGCATCACCTAGCATAATGGCTAGAATACAGTAAGCATTCAATAAATGTTTGATAAATTGATGAATTAACAGTAGAATTAATTAATGGATGAAAAATAAAAACTATGTTACATTAAAACAAAAAAAGAACTTTGTATTTTTCATGTTTTGCTTTTGATGTTGTTTTAAGACCTTGGTCTTAATATAATAGGATGTACATAATTACGTTGTTTCATTAATTGCATTCCTCAGTCAAGTCTCACTGTTTTCACCAGTATAACCAAGACCAATTTCTACTTTTATTTTTTACTCCATTCATTCATTCATATATTTTTATGACCCCTTCCTTCTCCTTCCCACCAACCCCTTTAAGAAAATCATTCTAAAGTGTATAATCATATAACTTCTATGTATGTATTCTTATAAGAACATCGATCATTCCATATAGATGTTTTATAATGTACATAAATGATATTGCTTTATTTATATCATTCTTTTTGTTCCACTTTTTTCCTACACTGCTTTTGCTTTTATAATTCTTTTTGTTTTGAACAATAAATGTAAGTACTGTCTATTTTCTAATTTTTTTATCTTGAAATTTACTTGGATTTACCTTGAAAGATAGTCTGTATGATTCAGTGATAAACAGACATCCTAATATTAAATTTCTACTCTTATTGCTGTAACAAGGAATAAATAGGATATTGTATTTAAAATAAGATTATTGAATATAGCTTTAAAACCTTACTGAATCTTTCTTTGCATGTTAACAAAACCATCTTAGGAACTTCCGTGTGTGTTTTATAAGTAAATATAGAATAATTCTGACTTTGAAAAACCTTGGACTCATTTTCAATTGAGATAGACAAACCTGATGACCATGAGTTTGATGCAGGCATTAAGAGATTCTAATGAAGGCAACATGATAATTAATAGAATTATTCTCTGAGTGCTTTCTCAGAGTACATGTTACTTACACTTAGTAAACTGGGATATCTGTTTCTGATCACATCAGATTTCACTTTTAATTTATTACTTTTACAGTTCCTCCAAGTGCAATTGGTCCTAACCCTGAAAATCTCACTGTTGTGGTGAACAATTTCATCTCTTTGACTTGCGAGGTCTCTGGTTTTCCACCTCCTGATCTCAGCTGGCTCAAGAATGAGCAGCCCATCAAGCCAAACACAAATGCTCTCATTGTACCTGGTAAGGGACTTACTATTCTTCTAAGGTGGGCATAACGTCTTATTTTCCTTTATTTAATACAAATGGTATTTCAACTTTGTCCTATTCCAAACTTTTGTCTTACTCCAATAGTAAGTAAATGCCTCTCTTTACCCATTTGGGACCATTAGAGTAAGATTGTACAGACTTTAGTGGACTTACACAATAAAAAGATCTCCAACAAATCATGAAATTTAGGAAGAAGATGGCTTAGTGATTCTGAATATAGATGGCAAGTAGTGTTTTCATCATATTAATCTACTGGTTGTTTTTAATCAGCCTCAGTGCTTCTTAAGGATAGATGATAGATAGATAGATAGATTGGTGAGAGACAGAGATACATAGTCACATGTAGAGATAAGCAGATGATAGGCTGTAGAAAGATAGTCAGTTACCTCGGCACTATGGAAAATGAATACGCAGAAAACATTTGTTAACATATTTTAGCTACAGTACAGTTACTATTTGCTCCCTAGAATGTATATGAAATAATTTTCCTATTCATTTCTGTTTACTGGGGAGAAAAAAAGTCTGTCTTCCTTTGTAAGAAACTAGAATCAATGATGAAGGATCAAAAAAACCTGATTCAATTATTTCATTATAAATATGAGTGTTTCTACATAAATTTTGCTATAAAGGAAACTATATATTTTTCCATTTGTTTTATTGATCAAGTAGTTTTTAGGACAATCTTTCTTCCTACATTTACATTCCATTTGCTTGCAGGTGGTCGAACTCTGCAGATTATTCGAGCCAAGGTATCTGATGGTGGTGAATATACTTGCATAGCTATCAATCAAGCTGGTGAAAGCAAGAAAAAAGTTTCCCTGACTGTTCATGGTTTGTTTTTACTCTCCTCGTAATATTACTTCATTTTAAAACTGTTGTTCAATGTTTTCTATCTCAGCAACTTAATGAAAAAACAGAAATTCTTCTGTTCTTGTTTCCTGCCCTCAGTGCCCCCAAGCATAAAGGATCATGGGAGCGAGTCTCTTTCTGTAGTTAATGTAAGAGAGGGGATTTCCGTGTCATTGGCGTGTGAGTCCAATGCTGTCCCACCCCCAGTCATCACCTGGTATAAGAATGGGCGGATGATAACAGAATCTACTCACGTGGAGATTTTAGCTGATGGACAAATGCTTCACATCAAGAAAGCTGAGGTGCATCTTTTGTTCTTGTTTGAGTGTCACGAGTCCTGTGGGATTATGGAAAAGATCATTAAAAGTTGCATATTTCCTTTTCTACAGTGAGAAAATGATGTTCATGTAAAAATACATATCCAGCCGTTGAACTTGTTTGCCTAAAAAGGAAATAGGATTACTAAAGGCAATTAGAAGTGGGGTGTTTGAGCATAAAGATGACTGATGATTTAATCTACACTTGAACAGTGTGACTGGTCATCTATAATTTAATGGAGCACATACAATAGTATCTTTTTCTTTTAGGTATCTGACACAGGCCAGTATGTATGTAGAGCTATAAATGTAGCAGGACGGGATGATAAAAATTTCCACCTCAATGTATATGGTGAGCATCTGCCTCTAATACAAGTCTTTTTCCCCCAGATATGCAAATGAAAGAAAGTGTACTAAATTAGCTTAACAAGGATACATGATTTTCTTCTGTTTTTTTTACAGTGCCACCCAGTATTGAAGGGCCTGAAAGAGAAGTGGTTGTGGAGACAATCAGCAATCCTGTGATCTTGACATGTGATGCCACTGGGATCCCGCCTCCCACCATAGCATGGCGAAAGAACCACAAGCCTATAGGTAACACAGCTGGGCTTCTTGTGACTGTTTGCTTTTACTCTTAATTCACTAGATTTATAAACTAGCACGTTTCCAGTATTATACTCATAGATATCTATGTCTGGTTCAAGAAATTCTAATGTACTGAAACAAATGTAAAAAAACCAGACTCATTTTAAAATAGCTACTCATTTTTCTCACTTTTCCTTTTTACAAAAGGCTCTCATTTAAAAGTGAGAGGGAAAAGTTTTAAGGAATGCACTCACTGCATAAAGCATGACATTTTATGGTAAATTGCAGAGATGTCAAAAATAAAAGCTTTGGGTTGGGGATGTGGCTCAGTGGTAGAATACTTGCCTAGCATGTACAAAGCCCTGGATTTGATCCCTAGCACCACAAAAAACAAACAACAAATAATAGAAGCTATTTATGTTTTATTTTGCTTTGTTTCTACCTGTAGAAAATTCTGAGTCACTTGAAGTTCACATTTTGTCTGGGGGTAGCAAACTCCAAATTACCCGATCTCAGCATTCAGATAGTGGAAACTACACATGCATTGCATCAAACATGGAGGGAAAAGCACAAAAAACCTACATTCTCTTGATTCAAGGTATGTGATGTGCTCTATGACATTATCTTCAATTTTTGTTATATTCCACCATAGTACAAAATAGTCTACGTTTAAAGGCATTGTCAGTAATTGGCTCAAAATATCTTTAGGTCACCAAAAATATCTTCAACTTTTGTTCTGCATTTACAAGTAGATTTTATTTTCAAGGAAAAGGACATGAATATGGAAAAAAATAATAGTAGAAATGAGGAAATACCTATTTTTTCTATTTTAATGAAATTATTACCTTTCTATAGTATATAATCTATTGAATTATACTTATTTATTTAAAACTGACATAATATATTTCAACATTATGCCTATAAGTCTGTTCTTATTGTATACATAAGCAATAATTAATTCATGAGGTTGTACAGGAAGAGAATAGGTAAATTTCAAATAATCATGAATTTTGTATAATTTTGTGATGAAATAAAGAACATTAACTCATCTAATAAATTTTAATTAATGTCTTGGTGTTCCAGCATACTGTTGAGTATTGCAGGGAGAATTTTTTCTTCTTTTGTGAGCTGCTGGGAGCACATCTCTATAATTATATAGAATAGGAATTCAAATGTGTTTCTGTCTGACACCATTGTTAATCTCTTTATTCCTTGACCAAATCATTAAAGAACAAAAGGATGACTAGATAACCAACAACAGAAACTACTGGATCTTGAAAACTATAATAAGTCTATTCATTGTTCAGAACAAATAATACTTAGAGTGGGTAAGGGAGAAAGAAATAACCAGCCTAGATACTTTCCCCAAGACCTTTATGTGAACAGTTTATAAAACAGGTTGTCCTGAACTATATTAATTACAAACTATCCATTGAAACCTTAATTCAAGAATGATTCCATTTGGCCAAGAACATCTATGAGAGAGGTCTGTCATTGGCCTCTATGACAGTATCAGTTTACATGTATGCCAGGAATATTGAAGAGATTTGATTTCCTTGTCTTTCTAATTTAAAAGTGATTCATGAAATAACAATAGTTTGGTCTTAATCTAAGGAGAATATGAATTAATACAGCAAGATCTATAACCCTTTCACATTCACTAGAATTTATATCCTTGTGCCTTGTTAATCAAAGTCCTAAATATTTCTCCCAAGTTCCTCCAAGTATTGCTGGTGCTGAAATTCCAAGTGAAGTCAGTGTTCTCCTGGGGGAAAACGTTGAGCTGATCTGCAATGCAGATGGCATTCCCACCCCACTTACTCAGTGGCTGCGAGATGGAAAGCCCATAACAAATGATGGAACAGAAAGAATCCGGTATGTTTAAAGCATGAATCTGCACTATAAATTGCAAGGTCGTCTAACTGCATGTGAATAATAATGCCAACTGTGTCTCATTGGAACTTAGCTGTTGTTATATTCATGAAAAGATCGATTTTTGGAGAGTTGAACACAAATTCTCTTTGGAGAACACTCAGTGGTGTGCGTGTGTGTGTGTGTGTGTGTGTGTGTGTGTGTGTGTACCTTATCCATCGCCTCTGTATTATTTGATCTTTTCAGATGCTCATTCCTCAAAATGTTAACGATTATTGATTTTATTCCTCTCCCTTGAGAATGTTCATATCAAAGGCCATGTCTTAAAGTAATCAATTCTTATTTCCTACTAAACTGAAACCAACTTCATCCCATAAAAAGATTTATCAGTAATCCTACATACGGTTTTGTGTCCTGAAACCACCAAATTGTGTGCATGCTGTATTGTTTGGCTCATTTGGAGAAAAGATACAATAACATCATAACCCAGTTCATTCCTTGTAGTGGCTTGTCCAGATGCCACTTTCAGCTGACACTTGCTGTCCTTGCCACAAAGAGATGGAATAGTAATGCAGAAGGGCTTTCTGCTGCTTTCAACAACACATTCCTTAAGAAGGACCATCCAGAATTCTAACACTACAAGATTATTGCATGATAAACCCCCATTGCATACACTTACCAGGATAATTAAATGTATAAGTAGGCATCAATTAAATGTATTATTAAATTTATCATTTTGAGCCAATATGTTAAATTTAGTAAATTGAATATACATTATTTGAAGACAGATAAGTGTTACCGTCTTTGTGTTTATTTTATATGAAAGATTTAGATATTCTCCTTTATCAGATTGCGTAAATTGCCAAATAATAGAGACACATTTTACATTTCATTTTTCTTTTGTGATCATTTCTGAATAATTGACAAATATTTTATGAGGTAAGTGCGTATTCCAGAATAAGTACTAGGTACGTGGTTGGACCTAAAGATTTTAGATTAACATTTGTACCTAGAAATTTAGGATCTGTCAATTCTCTTACAATTAACATCCTAAATTTGCTTTTTTTATATCCATTTTGTTGATTATGCGTTCACTACTCCACAATATTTATAGATGTTTAGGTTGAACAATTTGTCAGTTAAAATACTTTTTTCAAAGTCAATACTTTGCATTGATTGTAGCAACTTGCTGTTTTAGTTTATAATGTAGTTAAACTAATGTAGTTTAAACTCATGGAATTTTTAAAATTCACATTTTGAAAAACACAACACCCAGATAATGATACTGTAATTTTCAATATCAGTGTCAAATTATGATGTTTAATAATATGATGTAGTAGAAGTGGATTCTTTTCCTTTGTCACTGAGAAATGTTAATGAAATCACTGTTTGTTAGAACAATTACAAATAACATTTTCCCTAAAACACAGGAAGTAATGTGTGGCAATTGATGGTGTGTAGAGAAAACTAAGACTATAATAATAACTTAAGTATATCTGATTATCTGATTTCATAATTAGCATTTACTTTGATGAGCTTCAAAAGGCAATGAAACACCCTGTATAGCTATCTTAAATAAACAAAAGTGTCTTTTTTTTTTTTTTTTTTTTTACAAAAACAGAGCAGGAAGGCAAAACAGGTCCCCTCTCTAGGGTATTGGTACTTGTGGGAGGGGAGAGGATATGAAAAAAGGGTATAGGAGGGTGAAATATTGTATACACACTGTGTAAAAGGAAAAACAAGATCTGATGAAACTATTCCAGAAATGAGGGCGAGAGATAAAGAGAATGATGGAGGGGGTGAATTCAGCTATGATATTTTGTAAGAACTTTTGTAAATTTCACAAAACAGTGACAACAATAACAAAAATAAAATTTAAAAAGAAAAGCTTTAGTAATTTGTGGAAAAATGTTTGCAGAATATATCCACACATGATACTGAGTTGTCACGATTTAAATTTTCCTATTGTGCCTCCTCTCATCGAAGTATTATTGGACTGTTTACAGCTAGATTTTCTGATACCTGATTTCTTCAGTTTCTCCTTATAACACTCTTCAAATTTCATATCAGAATTTTTAAATACTTTTTAATTTATCTATCAATTATATTGATAGATAAGAAAATAATATTCTAACTCTGAGAAGAAGATGTTTCTGCCTACGATTTGAATAGAGAACTTTCTAACCTGACTTTGTTTATTTCCTTTTTGTCAGAAGCAGGCAATAGATCTGAGACCTGTTTCTGTATAATTTTAATGTTCTGCCTGAAATCTCCCTCCATTTCTCTAGCTCTCACTTTAATAGGCTTCTACATACTTAGTGAACAGATTCAAGCCATTATATCCAAGTTGAAGACATTTTTATGGTGAAATTTTAAAAAAAACACAATAATGTGAAATGAGATTTCCAGACCTTGCCCCCACATTGATTGACTAGTACCTCTGCTCTGACCTTTTACATAGGGTGACTGCCAATGGCAGCACATTGAACATTTACGGAGCTCTCACATCCGACACGGGGAAATACACATGTGTGGCTACAAATCCTGCTGGAGAGGAAGACCGGATATTTAACTTGAATGTCTATGGTAAACGTGAAATATCACCCACTGTTGACTATGCTACATTAAGAGTCTTTTGGTGGGCCACAGGTGCCTGGAGCATTTAGTTTTTAGTTTTAAATCTAATGCCACAGCTATGTCCCTTCTTTCTCTCTCTCTCTCTCTCTCTCTCTCTCTCTCTCTCTCTCCTCTCCTTCCTTCCCTCTCTCTCTCTCCCTCTCTACCTTTCCCGCTCTCCTTCTCTCTCACAGTCCCGCCTAAAATTAGAGGCAATAAAGAAGCAACAGAGAAACTGACGATTTTGGTGGATGCTTCAGTAAATATCGAATGCAGAGCCACAGGGACCCCTCCACCACAGATAAACTGGCTGAAGAACGGCCTCCCTCTGCCTCTCTCCTCCCACATTCGGTTGCTGTCAGCAGGACAGGTTATCAGGTCAGGTTTTATTGTGTGTAATTTCTTAAACATTGACGAGAACAGTGATTGCTCACTTTTCCTTCAAGAAGTGCTTTTTTCTAAGCTTTTTCACTGCTCTGTCAGTAGAGGGAGGATACAGGATATAAGATTCAAGTGGGGTTTTTTATTCTTTTTTGAATGCTGGTGTTTTAGTAAATTGGGGTACAGTGGGGCTTTCATAGACCGCTTGTTATCAGGTATGTAATTCCATGAGCTACTATTTTAGCTAAAATATTACATGGCAAGATGGTAAGACGATAACCACTCTAATTATGTGATCTTGTGTTGGCGTCATTCTCTATTAATGTACACTTGAAAAATACTCACTCCAAATTGTGTTATGTTTTCAGTGGTTTATCATCACTGTATAATTACGTTCACAGAATCAGTTGCATTTGAGGCATCTGTATTTTGTGATGGATGGTTACAAGCATTGTAACTAAAACCTCTCAAAATGAAGCACCTGCTATAATCTATAAACCATAATGTTTTATTTTTATGTTGAATGGGATCAAGTTATGAATGTTAAATAAATTTATTTTTCAGGATTGTGAGAGCTCAGGTGTCTGATGTAGCTGTGTACACTTGTGTGGCCTCCAACAGAGCAGGGGTGGATAATAAGCACTACAGCCTTCAAGTGCTGGGTAGGTCGCACAAATGACCCTGGTACTTTATTCTGTGTCCAGTATTAAGCAACAAGCATATCTCTAGAAATCGATTTCCTCTATGAAAAATAACTGCTGAAAACCTGTCTCCCTAACTAGGGAAGAAGGGTTTTCTCCCAAAGTGTCCAGTTTATTGGGCCATACTGTCTCTCTATCAAAATAATTCTTCTGATCCAGAGTTTTGCACTAAATCAAATGTAAAGTTTCTAAAATAGCATTTTGATCTAGTCACAAGACTAGTCTGTCATACAAACAAAAAGTCAAATCTTTTCTCTAATAATATTATCAGTTCATTTAGAGTATTTAAAATATGAATAGATACTTGTGCATGTATTTATCTCTGTGTATATGTGCATCTAGGAAGAACTCAAAACCTTCTATATTTGAAATATTGAGGTTTGCTGCTCCACATATCAGTACATAAAACTTACTCTAGAACTTGAGATTATTTTTTCTGCATGAGGTAGTTTTAAATGTGCTATTGGAACTATTATCATAACTAGTATAACATAACAAAGAAACAAATTTAACAAGTTGAAAGATCATCAAAATTTAGAACACATTGATTATATATTCCATGAGAAAACAATTTTGAGGTTTCATTGCTAATATTTGGAAGATTAATAATTAGCATGCATAATAGATGTTTTTGTAGGCACTAATTTGTCATATGCTGTGAAAGTATATTTCACTGACTATAGAAAAATTATAAGGTTATTTAAATTTGTCTCAAATTACAATAGCTATATAAATTTTGCCTGTTTCATTTCCAGTGCCACCAGATATGGACAGTGCAATGGGAACAGAGGAAATCACGATCGTGAGAGGCAGTTCCACCTCTATGACATGCTTCACAGATGGAACCCCACCCCCCAGTATGTCCTGGCTCAGAGATGGCCAGCCTCTGGGGCTTGACACCCACCTAACGGTCAGCACGCAAGGAATGATCCTTCAGCTCATCAAAGCCGAGACTGAAGATTCAGGACGGTACACCTGCACTGCCTCCAATGATGCTGGAGAAGTCAGCAGGCACTTTATTCTAAAGGTCCTGGGTGTGTAAACATTCTGTCAAGTACAAAATAGTTTGAAAGTCGGTAACAGTTAAGTTTTAGTAAATAAGTATAATTCTTAGAACCATTTGCTGTAGCACAAGTTTTGTAAACTTTATTTCTATTTCTGCTTTATAATTTACTTTCATCTGTAGCATACTAAATTTAATGTTTTATCTGTGAAAAGATCAGAACTCTACTCATAAGATTAATTCACTGAAAAAAAATCTTATAATCAGTTAATAGCTAACATTTCAACTTTTTCCAAGGACTAAAAGCATATTTGATAAGAAATTTTGATTTAAGAAAAGATAATATTTATAGCATTGTATGTTATCCCAACATTTTAAATGATCCAATCTGTAGGTCATGGTTGGAAAAGTCTTTTCAAATAGTCTGTTTGCTCTCATGTGCCTTTAAAGTAAATATTTAAAATTTTTATTCCAACATTTTACACACAAACAAATAGCATAAAGAGAATCACATCATTTTCCTGAAGCAAAAACTTTGACCTCAAAAGAGAAAGGAAGATGAATGAAGCAAGCTAGTTCAATAATCAAGACTTTTTTGGAATGTTGTTTTTTCACTATACTATAGGGAAAGTGCCAGGCTCCTTTCATAGCACAGAAATGCACCCTTCAGAGAACAGCAAAAATAATTTTGACAAGTCTTAGGAGGGGCTAGCTTATGTTTTCAGAGTGCTTTGTAATCATTCTCAGAGCACATATTCAAATTTAATTATTTATACAACTTTAAAAGTCTGCTTCATCTCTAGTTAAACTTTGTGATAACAAAGGTGGTATGCATCTTACATATTGCTGTCTTTCCAGTACTTAGCATGACATCTGACTCTTAATGTGTGTTTGTTGGATTGAATTGAACAGAACTTGATACTTTTGAGCTGCATTAATGGAAGTTTTAAGTATTGATGGAAGTGGAACAATATCTAAAACAAAGTGAAATACTCTGTTATATCTGGGACTTCAGAGAATGAAGAGTGGTAGTTGAAGAGATTCTGCAGGACAGTTCAATGCAAAAGACAAAAGAAAATGTGTCTGGAAGGGGTGGAGAATGGGTAACAAATCCCCATACATTGATTCATGGAAAATGCGTAACAGTAGATGATATAAGATGATCCTATGCCTCATTATTCACACATTAATTCACACTATTAATTGTTGAGTATACGTTGTGTGCTAGGATTGTTTCTCGTCATCATTGAGCAGATAATTATGAATACCTGCCGTGTGATACATTGTGTGGTGGATACTCAAATGCATCACAGAATAAGAAAGATGAAGTCATGACCCTCAAGTTTCTATATCTGAGGGAAGCAAAGATATTGAACAAGTAACGGTTTTTGGTTGTGATGAGGCTCATAAAGTCAGCATAACATTCTGTGGGGTGGTGAGTTCCACACTAGATCTCCTCGAGCATAAATCTGAGCCCTGAATAGGGCAGTAGATGTGAGTGGGGATTTAGAGACGTTTGCCTGTCTCTCACCTAGAGATGATGGAGCTTAAGTTTTGACTTTGTATTCACATGAACTGAATAGGAAAGGAATAAACATGACTGAAACTATAGGTGGGCAGAGACCAAATTGTAAAGGGCCTTAGAAACATTTGAAGCAATTCAGACTTTGTTAAAAGGCAAGGAGAATCATAAGAAGGAATATGTTACAGCCGGATTTCATTTCCAAATACTCTTGGGTGATACAGTGAAGAAAGACTTGAAGAAACTGTATTCATACATTTCTGATGATACAGCAGCCTTGTCTACCATGTGACAGTGAAGAAAGAGAGAAAGAATATTGCTGTAGGACTTCCAGAATCCAGAATCAGTCATAGACCAGTGCATTGCTGAAGCAAATGAAGGAGAAAAGCAAGAATGATACTGTTGGAGTAGGATACTAAGAACAGTCTTCCCAGCAAAGAGTTTATAAGGATAATGCTTCCTTAAAACAGATTTGAAAACTGGCTCAGCTAGAAGATGAGAAATTTCAGCATCTGTTAAAAATCAATGCCGTTATATTTTGAAAAGCTCTTTACATAGAGCAGTGCTACTAGTCAGAATGCAAATGTTTTAGCTTAATTCTGTCCATGTGGTGGGAGGTGTCATGGTATATTAGTGGTTCTGCAAAAGTAAAGTTTGGCTAGAATGGCAAAACCAAGAAAGAGCAGCATACAAAGCAAAGCTAGGTGGGATTGACAGGGTCTGGCCACGATGGCCTTTGTCGACCACATGAAGAAGTTTGGTTTTTAATCCTGTAACAATGAGAAATCATTAAAAGTTTTAATAAGTGGAATGGCATGAGTAGATCTGCAGCTTGAAATCAAAGACCACTCTACTGCCAGTGAAAAGCTGTTCAAAGCAGGGCAGGAATGGATTCTGAGAGTCTAGTGTATCACTAGAAATTGTGTTTGGCTGTGAATAAATATGCTGACTTTAAGAAAGAACTTTTTGTTCTTGTGCTATGGGTTGAACCCAGGGCTTTATGTTTTTCAAGCAAGCACTCTACTACTGAACTACATCCTCAGCCCTAAGAACTTTTGTTTTTCTCCTTGAGTAAGATTTGGAGATTAGCTGTTGTTGCATGGGCTTAGCAATTCAGATCTTTGCAGTCTTTTAGCCTTTCTGTCATGGTTCATCAATGATCGTACAATGTCTGCTCATCCCCAGTATAATGCAGTGGTCCTGTACTTGTGAAAATGACAGAGCAGTAAAAATCAGGAGGGCCTTTTTCTAAGGAGTTACCCCTTTACAGACTTCCTTTAGTGTGTGATGGGGAGAGGGATGGTACTGGGGCTTGAACTCAGGACCTCATGCTTAGCTAGGTAGGTGCTTTACCTCTTGAGTCACTCTGCCAGCTCTACAGACTTTCCTAGGAGTTCCACAAAAACCACATCTTGTTGGTCAAAAGCTTCACACATCTGCTGTCTTCTAAAGAAACTGTGATATGTATTTTTTAAATATATTTCTAGACCCAACAAAATTATGGTATTCTAATAAGAAAGGAAGAAATAACTAATAGGTAGGCACCTACAACCAGGAAGAAAGAGACATTAGTTCAAGTAAACAGTACTGTAGCTCAGATTGAAGTGATGAAGGTAGAAGTAAAAGGTATTTTCTAGAAATAATTGCAGGTAAAAGTATTAGGACTTGGCTGTGGATTTGTACATGGGGAGTAATGAAGAAGAGATCAAGGATGGCCCCTAGTTTCTGGCTTATGTGAAATAGATAAAGGGATTGTAAGAAAAGGACCAGGTTTTAGGGAGTAAGACCACAGGCTCAGTCTATATACATACTGAGTTTGAAATGGTTTTAAAATATCCAAATGGAAATGTTCATCTGATGGTTAATTTTATGAATCTGGACTTCAGAACCCAGATTTAGACGGGAACTGTAAGTTCTAGAGTCCTCAGAGTGTGGACAACTCCACTTTGCCCCAAGTATAAGGTATATGGGCCAAATATAAAATAATTTGCAATCACTTACCACATATAAGATCTAAAGATTGGAGTTTGAACTAGTAGGGATTATGTTGCTATTGTTACTGTTGTTTTAAACGTAGTGATCATAAACGTGAGGGGTGAGGCAATGTCTAATTAACCTTTGTATCCAGTAAGTAATAAATAAAAGGAATAAAGGATTAATTGTAGTCAAATGGAGAATTGCATAAGTGCTTTCAAGTGATACATCATGCTATGGAAATGAAAGAGACCCACATTTTACAGTTAGTTGAAAGAATCAAGAAAGAATTTCTGATTTTTACAAATAAACTTACTGACATTTATGTAACCTTGGTAACATTTCAGCGTGATCAGTTATGGAGTGCTGGTACTATTAGGAGCAATAAAGAACTGAGCTTGTTGAGAGAAAGAAGTAGCCTAATTTGAAGTCTAACATTAAAAGTAAATAGGAATACAAAGTTAGATTAAAACCAGGTTGCAGAACCTTTGGAAGCCCTGATCAGGCTTTTTGTTTAATTCAGTAAGCAACATGTAGCCATTAAAATGTTTTAATTGGGCAATCTTAGATCAATCTTAAACTTCACTTAAAATACATTTTGACAGCAATATGAAAGCTAGATAGTATAAAAAGAGGTTATGTGACACAATAATTAAGAAATTCTGACTTCTTAATTGTAATGCGAAAAAAATGAGAACAAGAAAACAGTTTTAGGACACAGATTTTTAATGACAATACCAACAGCTATCGTACAGATTGTAGCAGTGATAACTTTTTAAGCTTTTAATTATAAAACAGAACAGATGCAGAAATCCAAAAGAAATGTGTGGTTTGTCTCATTGGGTCCCAGTAATCCTGTTAGGTTTGTAATCTTTCTATCTCCATTTTGGAGATTTGCCTGGTTCCACTAAGCAAATAATTGTTGGTGCTGAGAGTTAAACTCAGTCTGACTCAAGATCCTGTGCTATGAGTCACTCTTCCGTGTGCCTGATTTAAAACAAAACCCCCAGCTAACCCTCGGTGCTGTCCAATGGTTCTTTTGACTGCCTCATAAAATCGTAAGCTGAAAACTTGAGTATGGAATTTTCATTGAAAACCTGAACCATCATTGCAGGGGAGTCTGTTCAGGACTACACTTAGACCAAAAGAACCTTGATGTTTCTTCCCAATGTTTAGATTCTTTAACCTTCTCTTGAGAAAGGTAATTTTAGAAGCATACATAATAAAAGAGAAAATTACTCCTGCGCAGATGTAACAAATGTGTTTTGTGCAGAAGTTCTGTCTACATCTTTTGTGACAAAGAATAATGACAGCTGTGTTTAATTATTTCACTTTCTGGGTTCTAATCAATTTATATCACATGAATATAAATTCCAGTTGGATTTGCTTTTCTAGTTTTTCTAATCATTTGTGTTTTATGAAACAGCAGATTTATTTTGCTATTATCTTTGATTCCCTTTAATAGAACCACCTCACATTAATGGATCTGAAGAACCTGGAGAGATATCAGTAATTATTAATAACCCACTTCAACTTCCCTGTATTGCTTATGGAATACCAGCTCCTAAAATCACCTGGATGAAAGATGGCCGACCCCTTCTACAGACAGATCAGGTGCAAACTTTAGAAGGAGGAGCTCTTCTTCGAATATCTAGTGCTCAGGTAAGTGTCATTTTTCATACACTTATTTTACCCTCACTTAAATTGCATGCTTACTAATATATAAGAACTGCTAAATAAGTTATTACTTTGCACCTGGGTACGTCACAGCTCTGTACTTCACCAAAGGTAGATTGCATCTATGATACGTGATTGGGTCAACTAGGAGGAAGATGAAGGAGTACCTAATATAAACTCTGAAAAAAGAAGGTACCTTCCCATTAACTTATGCATGTTTTCACAGCTCGAGTGTTAGTATATTTACTGAAGCTCTTAGCTTTTGACATATAGTTCTTCATCTAACCAGCAAGATGCACTCCAACACACATTCATATGAGGATTCAAAGAGTACTGATTATCTCCAAGATGAACTAGCAGACATGAAAACTGGAGGACATGCAATTTTTCAGACAATGGTGGAGGAGGTGAATTCAACTAAGATACACTGTAAGAACTTTTGTGACTGTCTCAGTGTACCCCCAGTAGGACAATAAAAAAATTAAAAAATAATATGTGACTAAACATTTTTTTCAAGCAATGATCAGTTTAATAAAATTGACGGGCTCTTTTTGTTTACATTTTAAGGAAATTGATCTGAAATATGAATACATTAAAGTAAATGTATTCACTTTTATAACTGTTTTTTTTCCTGGCTCTTACTGTTTTATTGTTCATATGTGCATACAATGCTTGGGACATTTCTCCCCCGTGCCCCCACCCCCTCCTTTACCACCCACTCTGCCCCCTCCCTTTCCCCCCCACCCCCTCAATACCCAGCAGAAACTATTTTGCCCTTATCTCTAATTTTGTTGAAGAGAGAGTATAAGCAATAATAGGAAGGAACAAGGGTTTTTGCTGGTTGAGATAAGGATAGCTATACAGGGAGTTGACTCACATTAATTTCCTGTGCGTGTGTGTTACCTTCTGGGTTAATTCTTTTTGTTATTTTTTTTTTCATTTTCCTTTTATTATTCATATGCGCATACAAGGCTTGGTTCTTTTCTCCCCCCTGCCCCCACCCCCTCCCTTACCACCCACTCCGCCCCCTCCCTCTCCCCCACCAATACCCAGCAGAAACTATTTTGCCCTTATTTTAATTTTGTTGTAGAGAGAGTATAAGCAATAATAGGAAGGAACAAGGGTTTTTGCTGGTTGAGATAAGGATAGCTATACAGGGAGTTGACTCACATTAATTTCCTGTGCGTGTGTTTACCTTCTGGGTTAATTCTTTTTGTTATTTTTTTTTTCATTTCTTTTATTATTCATATGTGCATACAAGGCTTGGTTCATTTCTCCCCCCTGCCCCCACCCCCTCCCTTACCACCCACTCCGCCCCTCCCTCTCCCCCCAATACCCAGCAGAAACTATTTTGCCCTTATTTCTAATTTTGTTGTAGAGAGAGTATAAGCAATAATAGGAAGGAACAAGGGTTTTTGCTGGTTGAGATAAGGATAGCTATACAGGGATTGACTCACATTGATTTCCTGTGCTGGGTGTTACCTTCTAGGTTAATTCTTTTTGATCTAACCTTTTCTCTAGTTCCTGGTCCCCTTTTCCTATTGGCCTCAGTTGCTTTAAGGTATCTGCTTTAGTTTCTCTGCATTAAGGGCAACAAATGCTAGCTAGTTTTTTAGGTGTCTTACCTATCCTCACCCCTCCCTTGTGTGCTCTCGCTTTTATCATGTGCTCATAGTCCAATCCCTTGTTGTGTTTGCCCTTGATCTAATGTCCACATATGAGGGAGAACATACGATTTTTGGTCTTTTGGGCCAGGCTAACCTCACTCAGAATGATGTTCTCCAATTCCATCCATTTACCAGCGAATGATAACATTTCGTTCTTCTTCATGGCTGCATAAAATTCCATTGTGTATAGATACCACATTTTCTTAATCCATTCGTCAGTGGTGGGGCATCTTGGCTGTTTCCATAACTTGGCTATTGTGAATAGTGCCGCAATAAACATGGATGTGCAGGTGCCTCTGGAGTAACAGTCTTTTGGGTATATCCCCAAGAGTGGTATTGCTGGATCAAATGGTAGATCGATGTCCAGCTTTTTAAGTAGCCTCCAAATTTTTTTCCAGAGTGGTTGTACTAGTTTACATTCCCACCAACAGTGTAAGAGGGTTCCTTTTTCCCCGCATCCTCGCCAACACCTGTTGTTGGTGGTGTTGCTGATGATGGCTATTCTAACAGGGGTGAGGTGGAATCTTAGTGTGGTTTTAATTTGCATTTCCTTTATTGCTAGAGATGGTGAGCATTTTTTCATGTGTTTTTTGGCCATTTGAATTTCTTCTTTTGAGAAAGTTCTGTTTAGTTCACTTGCCCATTTCTTTATTGGTTCATTAGTTTTGGGAGAATTTAGTTTTTTAAGTTCCTATGTATTCTGGTTATCAGTCCTTTGTCTGATGTATAGCTGGCAAATATTTTCTCCCACTCTGTGGGTGTTCTCTTCAGTTTAGAGACCATTTCTTTTGATGAACAGAAGCTTTTTAGCTTTATGAGGTCCCATTTATCTATGCTATCTCTTAGTTGCTGTGCTGCTGGGGTTTCATTGAGAAAGTTCTTACCTATACCTACTAACTCCAGAGTATTTCCTACTCTTTCCTGTATCAACTTAGAGTTTGGGGTCTGATATTAAGATCCTTGATCCATTTTGAGTTAATTTGGTATAGGGTGATATACATGGATCTAGTTTCAGTTTTTTGCAGACTGCTAACCAGTTTTCCCAGCAGTTTTTGTTGAAGAGGCTGCTATTTCTCCATCGTATATTTTTAGCTCCTTTGTCAAAGACAAGTTGGTTATAGTTGTGTGGCTTCATATCTGGGTCCTCTATTCTGTTCCACTGGTCTTCATGTCTGTTTTTGTGCCAGTACCATGCTGTTTTTGTTGTTATTGCTTTGTAATATAGTTTGAAGTCAGGTATTGTGATACATTGTTCTTTTGACTGAGTATTGCCTTGGCTATTCGTGCCTCTTGTGTTTCCATATAAATTTACAGTAGATTTTTCAATCTCTTTAATGAATGTCATTGGAATTTTGATGGGAATTGCATTAAACATGTAGATTACTTTTGGGAGTATGACATTTTTACTATGTTGATTCTACCAATACATGAGCATGGGAGATCTCTCCACTTTCTATAGTCTTCCTCAATCTCTTTCTTCAGAAGTGTATAGTTTTCCTTGTAGAGGTCTTTCACATCTTTTGTTAGGTTTACACCTAGGTATTTGATTTTTTTGAGGCTTTTGTAAATGGAATTGTTTTCATACATTCTTTTTCAGTTTGCTCATTTAGTGGTATAGAAATGCTAATGATTTTTCTATGTTGATTTTATATCCTGCTACCTTGCTATAGCTATTGATGATGTCTAGAAGCTTCTGAGTAGAGTTTTTGGGTCTTTAAGGTATAGGATCATGTCGTCTGCAAATAGGGATATTTTGACAGTTTCTTTACCTATTTGTATTCCTTTTATTCCTTCTTCTTGCCTAATTGCTCTGGCTAGGAATTCCAGTACTATGTTGAATAGGAGTGGAGATAGTGGGCATCCTTGTCTGGTTCCTGATTTTAGAGGGAATGGTTTCAGTTTTTCTCCGTTAAGTATAATGCTGGCTGTAGGTTTGTCATATATAGCTTTTATAATGTTGAGGTACTTTCCTTCTATTCCTAGTTTTCTTAGAGCTTTTATCATGAAATGATGTTGGATCTTATCGAAGGCTTTTTCTGCACCTATTGAGATGATCAAGTGGTTTTTGTCTTTGCTTCTGTTAATGTGGTTTATTACGTTTATTGATTTTCGTATGTTGAACCACCCCTGCATCCCTGGGATGAAGCCTACTTGGTCGTAGTGAATAATATTTTTGATGTGTTGCTGAATTCGGTTTGCCATTAGTTTGTTGATGATTTTTGCATCAATGTTCATTAAGGAGATTGCCCTATAGTTCTCCTTTTTGGAGGTGTCTTTGCCTGGTTTTGGGATAAGTGTAATGGCTTCATAAAATGTGTTAGGCAGTTATCCTTCCCTTTCTATTTCATGGAACAGTTTAAGGAGGGTTGGTATCAGTTCTTCTTTAAAGGTCTGATAGAATTCAGCAGAGAATCCATCAGGTCCTGGACTTTTCTTTTTGGGAAGACTCTTGATTGCTGCTTCAATTTCATTTTGTGTTATAGATCAATCAGGTGATTAATTTCCTCTTGGTTCAGTTTTGGATGATCATATGTATCTAGAAATCTGTCCATTTCTTTCAGATTTTCAAATTTATTTGAATATATGTTCTCGAAGTAGTCTCTGATGATTTCCCTGGACTTCATGGTGTTTGTTGTTATCTCCCCTTTTGCATTCCTGATTCTACTAATTTGGTTTTTTTCTCTCAGGTTTGCCAGGGGTCTATCGATCTTGTTTATTTTTTCAAAGAACCAACTTTTTGTTTCATTAATTCTTTGTGCGGTTTTTTTGGTTTCTATTTCGTTGATTTCAGCTCTTATTTTTATTATTTCTCTTTTTCTATTTCTTTTGGGATTTGCTTTTTCTTGTTTTTCTAAGATTGAGATGTATCATTAGGTCATTGATTTGGGATCTCTTAGTCTTTTTAATATTTGTACTCATGGCTATAAACTTTCCTCTCAGGACTGCCTTAGCTGTGTCCCATAGGTTCCAGTAGGTTGTGTTTTCATTTTCATTGACTTCCAGGAACTTTTTAATTTCCTCTTTTATTTCATCGATGATCCATTGTTCATTAGTAATGAGTTATTTAGTTTCCAGCTGTTTGCATGTTTTTTGTCTTTACTTTTGTTGTTGAGTTCTACTTTTACTGCATTGTGATCAGATAGTATGCACAGTATAATTTCTATTTTCTTATATTTGCTGAGGCTTGCTTTGTGCCCTAGGATATGATCTATTTTGGAGAAGGTTCCGTGGGCTGCTGAAAAGAATGTATATTATGTAGAAGTTGGATGAAATGTTCTGTAGACATCAAGTAGGTCCATTTGATCTATTGTATATTTTAGATCTTGGATTTCTTTATTGATTTTTTGTTTGGATGACCTATCTATTGATGATAATGGGGTGTTAAAGTCTCCCACAACTACTGTGTCGGCATTAATATATGCTTTTAGGTCTTTCAGTGTATGTTTGATGAAATTGGGTGCGTTGACATTGGGTGCATATAGGTTGATGATTATTATTTCCTTTTGGTCTATTTCCCCTTTTATTAGTATGGAATGTCCTTCTTTATCTCATTTGATCAATGTAGGTTTGAAGTCTACTTTGTCAGAGATAAGTATTGCTACTCCTGCCTGTTTTCGGGGGCCATTGGCTTGGTAAATCTTCTTCCATCCTTTCATCCTAAGTCTATGCTTATTTCTGTCGGTGAGATGGGTGTCCTGTAAGCAACAAATTGTTGGATCTTCCTTTTTAATCCATTTCGTCAAGCGGTGCCTTTGATGGGGGAATTAAGTCCATTAATTCCTCTCTTACAGCCTTCAATATTCTTTCCCTAGTTTCTGAACTTGTTGTTTTAATGATGATCTGTCGTGGGATAGTTCTATTTTGATCTGGTCTGTTTGGTGTCCTGGAGGCCTCTTGCATCTGTATGGGAATATCTTTCTCTAAATTTGGGAAATTTTCTGTTATTATTTTGTTGAATATATTACGCATTCCCTTTGCTTGCACCTCTTCTCCTTCTTCGATGCCCATGATTCTCAAGTTTGGTCTTTTGATGGAGTCGGTGAGTTCTTGCATTTTCTTCTACAAGTCTTGAGTTGTTTAATTAATAGTTCTTCGGTTTTTTCCTTTAATTACCCTTTCATCTTCGAGTTCTGAGATTCTGTGTTCTGTTTGTTTTGTTGTTCTGCTGGATTGGCCTTCTGTTTTGTTTTGCAATTCTGTTTCATTCTTTTTTCTGAGGTTTTCCATATCCTGGGTGGTTTCCTCTTTAATGTTGTCTATTTTTGTCCTGAGTTCATTTATCTGTTTATTAATCGTATTCTCTGCTTCACTTTGGTGTTTATACAGTGCTTCTATGGTTTCCTTTATTTCTTCCTTTGGTTTTTCAAATTCTCTATTTTTGTTGTCTTGGAATTTCTTGAGTGTTTCCTGTATATTTTGGTTGACCCTATCCAGTATCATCTCTATAAAATTCTCATTGAGTACCTGTAGTATGTCTTCTTTTAAATTATTCTTGTGGGCTTCATTGGGTTCTTTGGCATAGTTTATCTTCATTTTGTTGGAGTCTGGATCTGAGTATCTGTTTTCTTCATTCCCCTCTGTTTCCTGTACTGATCTTTTGCTGTGGGTAAACTGGTTTCCCTGTTTTTTCTGTCTTCCTGTCATTGTCCTTGGTGTTGTTACTGTCCCTGTACTGTGTGCAATTAAGTATTTTCTAGCTTGTAATAATAACAATGGTAATATTTAGAATGGAAGGGTGAGAGGAGATGGAAAGCAAGAAGTTAAAGAAAAGGGAAAAACAGACAAGTAGGAGTAACAAAACAAGGAATCAAACAAGAAACTTTCAAAGGTATAAACAGGAAGCGTTAGTGTACTAATCGACAGTAAGCTTGTCCGCGTCTTCCCAAGCCGTCTGGGTGCAGGCAACTGGTGGCCCGGGGGCCCTCCTGGTTTCTCCGCTTAATGTAAAGTGGAGATTCTCTGCGCTGGCTGGAGGTGTGGAGGGGTCAAAGTTTTGCCTCTTCTCGGTGGTTTTGTCTGCAAGGTGTGTCTCTAGCATCTCTCCAAAATTTCACTATTGGAGGCACGCTTTCTGCTTCCTCCCTCTAGCCGCCATCTTGGAATCTCCCCCTAACAGTGTTTTTCATAACCAATAAAGGTAAACCTTTTATTACACAGATTCTTCAGTTGTAGCCTAATGCTCTCATTTCTAAATTAGAGATAAAATAATAGTAATACCTACTGTGTATATTGGGGAATTTAAAAAGATAAAGTAACAACATCATGTGCTCAGATTGAAGCCATAGAAGTGGAGCAGATGCTAAAAAAAAAAAAAAACAGAATATTTGGTTGATGCTACTATAATTATCATGACAATCATTCTTCTGAACATAGAATAACAAATTAGTCATTTCTTGTTTTTGGTTTTACTGATAAAGAGAAGGGAAAGGCAGTTGAGAGAACACATGCTAAGATTATAAATTGTTGGCTTTAGCTCTGGCCTCTCGATCATACTCATGACCCTCCCAGCTACTCTATGAGACAATGTCTTTATCTCCATTTTAGAGACCCAGAAAAAGGCACCAAGAGACTAACTGTGTGTTTGCCAAGTGCTCACCATTGCCCAGTGAAGGAGCTGATTCTCAATCCTGGGCCGAGTTCACAAGTCTAGCCCGTGGATCTCAGCAGTTTGTTTCTAGCATTGTAGATCACATGCCTTCCATTCCCTCTTTTCTTTCCATTCCAAATATTGCAGAAAAGCAGGTTAAGCAATCATACCACTTACTGAGTCAACACCCTTCAAGAAGTTTCCCTCTGTGTCAGGGAAATAAAACTACACACAAGATACAACTAGATATAAAACAGTAAGAGAACCATTAAAATAACATTGAAATGAAAAACTAAATAGGATCAAGTCAAGACTGATCTTGGTTGTGCTACTCCTCTGTTTTTTGTAGTGTTTTGAATACAGCTCTGTTACAGCACTCACTTCATTCTATTTTACTTGTGTTAACTTTGGCTTTGGTGTACTAATCCACAGCATATTCGTAACATATAATAGATTTGTAAAGTCCAAATCATGTGACAGGTACATGAGTTTCCTAAAACATCTCCCATCAAACACTGTGTGTGATTTATTCTAAGGGAAGAGGGGACCATTCTACAATCAAATAGGCTTAGAAAGCCTCAGATATCTTTCCCTCCCTTGTGACATACAATGCATGTCAGCACCTATGCGCAGTCTTAACGCAAATACACATGGTTAACTGCAGTTTCTCCAAACTCCGTATTAACAGAACACCCTTTAGAAAAGTAGCTACAAATAATGACTGTGGGTATCAACAAGGGAGTAGTTGTCAGGAAATATTTCCTGGAGGAGGCAAAATTTTAAAAGTAGCTGTGAATGATGGTTGAAGTTTATGAAGTCAAGACATATGAAGGGTTCAATATTAATTAGGAAGACAAGAGTTGGTACCAAGAGTTAGTGTTAGAGGTTTTAAAATATGATGAGAAATTCAGAAATTTTCTCTAGGAAATGCATACCATTTTAAATTCTTAATCAAAGGCTTATATGAGTTGTTCTTCTAAAATATATTTATTTTTCCAGATATTGTAGTCCTCCATTTTTTCAAAGAAATTTTTGCAGCCTTCCAAACAGTTTTTCCATTACCTTTATAAAGTCAGTTTTGAATGTGAGAATTTTTAAAATTCCAATATTCTAAGAATGCTCAAGTAGTAAAAAAAATGAAAACAGGACTTTTCTGCCTTTACAAAATACACTTTACAGTCATAAGAGCATCCATTTTCTACCATATTCTCTGCACGGGTTATGTCTACAAAATGTCAAGCATGTGAATGAAGGCTCACCTCCAGTGGAGACCATGCATGGGACTTTTAAAGAATAGTTCTTTCCAGGTGCTGATGGCTCACATCTGTAATCCTAGCTACTCAAGAGGCATAGATAAGGAGGATCAAGGTTTAAAGCCAGCCCAGGCAAATGGTTCACAAGGCCCTATCTAGAAAAACCCATCACACAGAAAAAAAGGACTGGTGGACTGGCTCAAGGTGTAGGCCCTGAGTTCAAACCCCAGTACTGGAAAAAAAAAAACAAAACGGTTTTGGGTTCAGCCAGAAAAGAGTACATTCTGTTATAAACCCTTTTTATAACCAAATAACATGGTATCACCCTTCTGTTTTGCCATGTAAATCAAGGGTAAAGTCAAGATGTGGTAGTAATGTGATTTTAATAACCTGGCATTTTACCCATTGACTGAATAAACGTTTCATTTCATTATTCATTTCAGTAAGAATGTAATTGAACTTTCAGTCAGCAGTGTATACCTATGCATATTTATTTCTTCAATAAACTGAGCATCTAGTTTATCATGAACAGTGCTATAGGTCCTTTGTATATCTGTCTTTTCTGATATCACTGTTAGATCAAAGAATAAAACGACCCTTTAAAACATAGGTTTTCCCATAATAGAGATATCAAGCAATGCTTTATATCAGAATACTAACCATAGGTATAAAAATACTTTGCTTTAATTATTGTGCTTGCTTAATGCTATTTTGCTTTGTGTGGGATTGTTACATTCATTCTAATGGATATTTATTGTCCTCACCAAAGTCAGCATTTTAACATTCTAAGATTCACTTATTTGGCTTTTGTAGGTGGAGGATACAGGAAGATACACATGTTTGGCATCCAGTCCTGCAGGAGATGATGATAAAGAATATTTAGTGAGAGTGCATGGTAATTGGGCAAGAAATCCTATGTCCGATCACACACACACATAGTTAGAAGCTGTACATAGCACATCATAAGATACGGTCATAAATTAAGAAATGCATAATTTTCAAATCTGATTCATATATTTGATTAATTGAATGCTATTTGGGAATAGTTCAGTGGATTTTTTGAGTTATTTATCTTATTTCTGCATAAGTAATTCATATTCATTGACTTCAAATAATACAACATAAATTATAATAATGAAAAAAGTAAAAAATAACTCATGATCTTATCACATCAAGATATGATATTTTTGCAAGTAAATGTTTTGTTATAAAACTGGGATCATAGCCAGGCACTGGGGTGTGTGCCTGTAGTCTCAGCTACTTGGGAGAGTGAAGCAACAGGACTGCTTGAGCCTAGGAGTTGGAGGCTAGCCCAGGCAACCCTGTCTCTTAAAAAAAAATATGATCATACATGGGCTGACAGAGTGGCTCAAGTGGTAGAGCACCTACCTACCTAGCAAGCATGATGCCTTGAGTTCAAATCCCAGTACTGCCAAAAAAATACTGTGATCATACAGAATATAGTATTTCAGTTGTTTTTGTCTGTCTTAATGGTGTGATGAACATGCTTTTCTGCTAATAAATATTTTTGTAGCATCATTTTTAGTGATTGCAGAGTATCCTAGTTTATTTTCTATTTTGGAGTACTTAGGCAGTTTCTACATTTTCACCAATACTGGCAGACTAATGCCTGTCCCTTTATTTTTATTTGAAATTTCTGTAAGTACACTTGCTTAGTAATACTTACATGTATATCTACACACATACACACACACACGCACAGCACACTTCTTAAGGATTTTGAAGCTTACTGCCCTGTCAACAAATTATTCATAGTTGAAATGACTGGCAGTGAAAACTGTCCAGAATTTCAGAGCCTCCTCTCTCACCCACCCACAAATTAGACCTGACATAATTGACATGTAAATCAGAATCACATAAAATATATTTGTGTGCATCAAGGAAACTAGGTGTATTTCTGCACAGTTTGATGGGCAGCTCCTGGTTTGGTCATTTTAAATTTAACATTCAGAGAAATGATTACCCAGTGTGGAATCTGGCAACGGACTTCTTTGTGCTCCATTGTCTTTACCTGTCAAACACTGACAATAACATGATTATTTATCCTATCATTCATGTAATTTTTGGAAGGATATCATTACTTGATTTTGTAGAAGTGCTAAACAGAGCCTTAAAAAATTCCAGTTTCTGCAATAAATTGAGTGATGTTTTAAATTTATGTCTCTTATTTCATATAGCAAAACTAAAATTTGTTGGGTACCAGTAAGTTAGATCATTTCACATTCGATTTATTAAAAGCCTTTGATGTTTGTTCTCTTATCTAGTACCGCCTAATATTGTGGGAACTGACGACCCCAGGATTTCACAGAGTGTTTGGAATGCAAATCAGATGCAGTGCCTCCTCCTGTGATTATGTGGCTCAAAAGTGGAGAGCAGTTACAGGTAAATCTTTTTTACTAAGCTGCACAGATTCATTTTTGAGACAAAAGAGAGCTGTGGAGTATTTGCTAGGTAGGAAAAACCAAATTAACCCCAGCTATCCAGCACTGCAGAGGCAGACACAGGCTCCTTTCATCAGCTGCCTTCTCTCCTCCCAGTCTTTGCTTAGGAGTTGGTTATGGCTCAAAAGCACAGTATTTAGATTCATGACCCTCTGGAAATTGACCTGTGGATATATCCCTTAGAGCTCACAGATTAAAGTCCAATTTAATCTTTACCTGAGAAGAAAGGAACCATCAAAATCTCAAAAGAACTGATCTATCCTGCTAACCTTTTTTTTTTTTCCAGTATTGGGGTTTGAACTCAAGGCCTTAAATTTGCTAGGCAGGCACTCTACCACTTGAGCCATTCTGCCATTCCCTGGTTGAGAGCTTTGACTTTGAAGCCTGTGATTGTCCTCACACTGGTGGTTTCTTCCAGCAAAAGTCCTAAGGAGGGCTGCCATAGTCTTGACCTGAGTTCAGCTGCCCGTCCTTGAATGGGTCATTATGGCCAGGGGGACTTGGAACACTGTTCATGACCTTGACTTAGCTGGAGTCATGGAATTAGTTCCCAGGGATTTTTGACACTACAATAAAAGTTGGGAGCAAACAAAGCATGTTGGCAGAAAGCAACTCTACAGTTCATTCTACTTACTTTTGATGCTATAAAATAAGATTTTATTCTCTTTTCCTGACATTTTAATGATCAGTTTTACTTATACAAACCAGGCAACACCTCGAGTGAGAATCCTGTCTGGAGGGAGATATTTGCAAATCAACAATGCAGAGCTAGGAGACACAGCGAATTACACCTGTGTTGCCAGCAACATTGCAGGAACAACCACAAGAGAATTTGGTCTCACTGTAAATGGTAAAAAACATTATTCATTGCTTCACAGTTGAAAAATTTAACCAAGGACATTCAAAGAAATGGTACTATTTTTCATGAGCATACTAAATGAACCTCTGTGATTACGTTACTTATTTTGAAAAAGTCAACATGTAGTACTTGTAATAAGGGCTGCATTGCAAATTAACTCAATTATAAAAAGGCATAATTGGAAATACATTACTCTGTCTTAAAAGGATAATGTCTGCACATACACAGACTCTCACATACTGTTTCTCTCTCTCTCTGTCTCTCTCACACACAGACACACACACACACACACACACACACACACATACACACTCCATCATTAAGAAAATCCAGATGTTTTGTATCTTTTGGGGTAGAGTCATTGAGGAAATCAATACACTAAATTTCTAGGTGACATATGACCCATCATTTTGCTCGCCTTTACTGATGGTAGCTTGAAAGTATATTGGATAGGGCTACAGTGTTGTAATTTTCTTAACTATGATCTCTAAGTCCTGAACCTTGCCAATTTTAGGAAGAAATAGAGACTCCCCCCATATAGTCCCTTTGGACTTTTGACATACGAAATTTCACAAGATACTGCATAACTCACATAACTAGTACATCTAATACAAAAATTAAAATTCAGTCTTTCTATTCCCAGATGAACTCAGTGATTAATAAAATTCATGTTCTGAGACTGTGTGATTAATCACAGATGTGCTTTTCATTAAAACAGCCCACTTTCTGTTCTTTATTTAAAGTGAAGTTGTTCCAGTGTTAACATTCTCTGACCATTATTTGGCCAAAGAGAAATAAGAAATATCATCTTTAATTTGCATCAGACCACAGCAGGTTTTTATTCAAGTCTCTCTCACAGAGAGCCAGATTTCATACACCACATAAGAGATTTAAAAATCCTCCTCCCAACTACTCTTTATTTTTAAACACAGAGTATCTTGAGTAAGACTTAACAAATTAAACTGTAATTCTATTTGTACTAACCTAGATTAGTGCAGACAAAGCTAAACATTTGACTCAAAGTTCTCATTACATCTTCAGGCTTTTAGTAATGGCTCCGTTCTTTAGTATAACTCAATTCTTGTGTTTATTTCTTATTCAGTTCCTCCACACATACAGGGTGGCCCACAGAGTCTTGTCACTCTCTTAAATACCTCGACTGTACTGGAATGTGTCACTGAAGGTGTGCCAGCCCCAAGCATAACATGGAGAAAGGATGGAGCTGTTCTGCCTGGGAATCATGCAAGGTAACACTTCACAGAAGGATGAAGTTGAAGTATCAGTCTTTAAATCTTTTTTCCTATTGCATTATTTTGGTCTTATTAAGTTCAAAATTAGTTTTTCATCCTAATATGAGAATCAAAACTTGGTATTTTAAAAGCATAACTTTTAAGGTTTATGTGTGCCTAATGATTGCAGCCTATTCAAGATCACAAGCCTTTCTGCCACGCACCTTTCTCTTGTATCCTCTTCTTCCCCTGAAGTAATTGTAAATATGTGTCGTCTGAAACAAAAGAAGACTAAATAGATTTCACCAACTCTCTAAAATTGCCCTCAGTGAGATTTAATGATCAAAAGAGACTGATTCAAGAGACCTCATTCATCACCTTTCTTGTAGATACTCCATCTTGGAAAATGGATTCCTTCATATTCAATCAACACATGTCGCAGACACTGGACGGTATTTGTGTATGGCCACCAGTTCTGCTGGGACAGATCGCAGGCGAATAGACTTACAGGTCTATGGTATGTTCATGTTTATAAGCAACATCCAGGCTTTGGGTCAGTGCTTTTCAATGACCTAAACTAGAGAGTTCATGAAGGCATTGATATCAAAGACTACTTAAGCATATTACACTATTACATGTGTTATGAACAGACAAGACCCATGATTCCTCCTCATTGGGGTTGATAGATGATAGCACAATTTAAATTCTCTGAGCCTTCTTGTGTCATAACTATGGGGTAAGTTACCAGTGGTGAATTTCAGTCCAGCAGTACTTCAAATGACACGCTGTTTGCTGAGTGTGTTTCCCTCTTATTTGGTGACATTGTTTTAGTTCCTCCATCTATTGCTCCGAGTCCTTCCAACGTAACTGTAACAGTGAATGTCCAAACTACTCTGGCTTGTGAGGCTACGGGCATACCAAAACCCTCAATAAATTGGAGGAAAAATGGGCATCTTCTTAATGTGGACCAAAATCAGAATTCATACAGGTAAGAATAATTATTGGGGGGGGGTCTGGATTTGAACTCAGGGCTTTGTACTTTTTTGGCAGGTGCTCTATCACTTGAATCATGCCTCCAGCCCAATTTTTAATATATTTTTAATTGGCATATAGTAATTGTACATACCTGTGAGGTACAATGTGACATTTCAATACATGTGTACAATGTGTAAATATCAGAGCAGGGTAATTGACATATCTGTCACCTCAGACATAAGCCATTTCTTTGTATTGGAAGCATCCAAAATCCTCTCTACTACCTACTTTGAAATAGTCAATTAGTAGTTGTCAATCATATTCCTTCTGCACCCCTGTACCTATTAGCCATCCCCTATATCCCCACGCCATCTTCCCGGCTCTGGTAACCATTATTCTAACTTTGTACCTCTATGAAACCAACTCTGTGTCTTCTACATACAGGCGAGAACATGAGCCATTTGTCTTTCTGTGCCTGACTTGTTTCACTTAACATAATAAGAGAAAGAAAATTTAATTGAAAAAAATCCCATCTACCATCTGAAACACAATTTTAAAAAGAACTTTTAACTCATTGGAGGCAGTGAAATAGAAAGTCTGAAGAATTAGTTAGAATGTAGAGAGTATTTTTTGCTTAATATGGATCAGTTTTCTAACCTAGACTAATTTGCTGCATTGAAGGTACGACCCTTCTGTCCACAAGCCCTGTGGATGGCTGTTAGTGCAACCTTCAGGATTAGCCTGAGTTTGCATTAGACAAATGATGCTCATTTTAACAAGAAGGAGGAATTCCATTCCCTCCATTAACAGCACAGTGCTGTGTTGTACCTACCACGTAAATACAAGGAAACTGGTGTATAGTGTCTCATGCTGTGCAATCTCTCTTCTAGGCTCCTTTCATCAGGTTCACTAGTCATTATTTCCCCTTCTGTGGATGACACTGCAAGCTATGAGTGCACTGTGACAAATGACGCTGGAGAGGATAAAAGAACCATGCATCTCACTGTCCAAGGTACAGTTTAGCAAGAAAGGTAGTATAGGGCCAGGCATAGTGGCACACAACTACAATCCCAGCTACTCAGGAGGCATATCAGAGGATCATGGTTTGAGGCCAACCTGGGCAAAAAGTTAGTGGGACTCCATCTCAACAAACAAGCTCTGTGGTAGGACCTGTAATCCTACCTGTACAGGAGGCATAGGTAGGAGGATTGTGACCTGACGCTGGCCCTGGGCAAAAAGCATAAGACCCTATTCAAAAAATACCTAAAGCAAAAAATGGCTGGGAGTATAGATTAAGTGGTAGAGTGCCTGCTAAGCAAGCAGGAGGCCCTGAATTCAAATCCCAGTATCATAAAAACAAGGTATTATAATGCTATCACCTCATTATTCCACAGCTTCACCAGACTGTTACTTGCCTAACAATCACTCTTTTGGAAATGTGTGAGGTTTGGAAATATGTGCTTTTCTTTCCTTTTGACATTATTGTTGTTTTAGTTCCTCCTGCCATAGCTGATGAGCCTACAGACTTCCTGGTAACCAGGCAGGCCCCAGCAGTAATCGCCTGCACTGCTTCAGGAGTTCCATCTCCCTCTATTCACTGGACCAAAAATGGTGTGAGACTGCTTCCTAGGGGAACAGGCTATCGGATTCTGTCCTCAGGTGAGACCACCTCAGTGATTCCGCATCTGTCGATTGGATTGGTTGCTAATGGATGGCCTTCCCTGGCCTTTGTTGCACCAAAATAAAAATGAAATACAGCTGTATTTCTAAACTTGAGCATCTGGGAAATATGGACTAAAATAGGAGGGGAACTAGGAAAAGCAAGAAGGAAAAGAAGTGTGGAAACAATGAATAACAGCTAAAATTCATCTGAATATAATAAGCTTGAACGCTGCAGGTGTGCAGCAATACTCAACCCAATGTTTAGTAAATTCTCCCCTTCCCTGTGTGTTACATTTTGCCATTGACCAAATAAGATGTTTATATAAAGAACACAAGTGCATAAGACAAGCTATATGCTCTCCTAAGTTTCTGAGGCAGTCAAACTAAGACAAGGTTCTTGTTTTCAAGGTTTGGATAATTTAGCAGGAAGGCGGAGGTGCTAAACACTGTAATTGTCTATCTGGGGCAAGTAGCAGTCACCACCATTGATACAACTCGTAGTGTTGAGGTGGAAAAAATTACTTCTATAAATTGAAGTGTAGGAAATTCACATTGGTGTTTCTAAATACCTACCCGGCACATGACAGTCACTGGAGATACACTGGAGATAAACTAAAGTAATCACTACTATCCTGGGACTTCATAAACGTATGCATATTATTCTAGGAGGATACATATGTATTTTTAATAGTGGAAAAATAATGTAAGATGTATTTTGGGGATGCAACTTTGCTTTTAAGCGAAATATTTTTGCTATATCAGAAACCTTGATAGCAATTCAAATAATAAAATATAAGCTAACCCCTCTTCAGCATAATCACAAAGTTTTATGCTAAGCAAAAAGTTTAGAGCTTTCTCAAAATGTTAAGCAGAGTTACATAAACCCGGCAACTCCAGTCCTAGGTATCTACTCAAGAGATATAAAAATAAATGTCTGTACAAAGACTGTGTGCAGATGTTCATACAGAGTCATTCATAATAGCCAAAAATGGAAAAAATTCAAATATCTAGCGTCTTGTGAATGGATAAACAAAATGTGGTATGTCTACAAAATGAAACTCTCTTTAGCAGTGAAAAAGAGTAAAACATTGACATATGATGCAATAGATGAATCTAAAAGCATTATGCTCACAGAGAAGTCAGCCACAAAATCACCATGTGGTGTGTGATTCCACTTACATGAAGTGTTTAGAAAAGGCAAATCTGTACAGACAAACAGTAGATTACTGATGGCTGGTTGGGAGTGGGGACTGACTATAAATGAACACCAGGCTTCTTTGGAGGAGGTAGAAAGGTTCTAATTGTTGTGATAGTTGTCCAACTCTGCAAATATATTGAAAATCATTGAATTGTATGTTTAAGTGGGTGGTGCTTATGGTACATAAATTATGTTACTAATAAGAAAAAGGTCCACGATCATCACTGCAGGGTGTACAAGTACAAATATAAACCCAGTACCACTGCTAGGTGCAGACAACACAAAAATGAGAGATGTAATTTATTAAACTAGAAAAACAAAGGTGCATATATATGAAAATTTTTTCTTATTTAGGAGCAATTGAAATATCAGCCACCCAATTAAACCATGCAGGAAGATATACTTGCATTGCTAGGAATGCAGCGGGGTCTGCATACCGACATGTGACCCTCCATGTCCAAGGTATGGAAGGTTTTTCCTCAGGGGAAGATTGCTGGGTGGGCTGGGTGGATAGCTTAGTGGTAAGGCACTTGCCTAGCATGTGTGAAGCCCTGGGTTTGAGCCCCAACACCACAAAAATAAAAAATAATTTTTGAAAAGCTTGCTGAGCTTGGGACTTTGGGTGCCTTTGTTTCTTGTATTTGATTTTGTTTCAAGTCATATTTGTTCTTGAAAGATGGAGCTGTCTAGAGCTGTAAACCAAAGTAATATCTTGCTTAAGATATGAAAGCCTGGGAGGTAGTTTTCTTCTTCTTGGATTTTTATAACCTGTTTCTAGTCTCCCAATGCAGTTCTTCTAATGCAAACACTATCACAAAAAGATGCAAAGAATGTTATGTGGCCAGTCTTCACTTTTCTCTTGGATAATCAAATTGGTAATATTTCAGAATTGTGGATTTGGGCATTTGTAAGCTCATGACTACAACAGGCATTTCAGCCATTAACTAGGACTGATCTTTTTTGGTTGGATTTTCTAGAGCCTCCAGTCATTCAGCCCCAGCCAAGTGAAGTAGACGTCATTCTAAACAACCCCATTTCCCTGCCGTGTGAAGCCAAAGGGACCCCCAGCCCTTTCGTTACTTGGCAAAAAGAAGGCCTCAGTGTCCTCACCTCAGGTACCTACCATCATTTTTGTTCAGAAAACCCTGCCACGTGCAGTGCTTTGCAATTGAGAAGCCGATGTGATGTTTAAAGGAAAGTAAAAACTCCTTTCCACTCTGCTTTTGTATCTGTCATGCAGGCAAAAGCCATGCAGTTCTTCCTAGCGGCAGTTTACAGATCTCCAGAGCCGTTCGAGAGGATGCTGGCACTTACATGTGTGTGGCTCAGAACCCAGCTGGGACAGCCTTGGGCAAAATCAAGTTAACTGTCCAAGGTACCTGAGTAACTCATGCCTGTGTCTTCAGAGTTGTGCATAACGATGAATACTAAATATGCATAAATCTAAGATGATTATGCCACATAGTTCTCAACACTCTTAGTCTGCATTCTGACTTGTTTTTCTGTTATCTATATAAGAAGAAAGTTTAATGTGCTTTTAAAAAAAAAAAAAGTTGTCTGTGTAAGACAACTGAGGTATCCTGTCATATTTTTAATTTCTGTGTGACACTTTACTTAGTACCAAAGTCACTTCATTAACTATGATTTGACTTTCCATGGTTTGAGTTACCCATAATAAACCAAAGAGTGAAAAGATGAAATGGAAAATTCTAGAAATGAATAACAAGTTTTAAATTGTGCACTGTTCTGAGTAGTGTAATAAATAAAATCTCACCTGTAACAGGAAGAATACCTTTATTCAATGTATTCACACTGTATATGTTACCCACCTTTTTTAGTCATTTAGCTGTCTCAGTTGTCACACCATCATAGCAGTACTCTGCTTACATTCAAATTACCCTTCTTGTACCTAAGGACAGCCTCAAAGCACAAGAGACATTGGCAATTCACATATACCAAACAGAAACCATAAAGTTCTTCTTCTAGGGAAAAGGTGAAAGCACAATAAGAGCTATATTAAGAGATGTATATTGAGATAATTAGTTTCCATAATCTGCTCATTTATTCCTGCAGTCAAATAGTACTCTTCAAGTATTACCATTGTGTATGAGACATCATGCTAAATTCTCTAGGAAATGCATGAATAAAAGAATCTGGGAAGCGGAATATTTTCCAAAATCTGAATGGGTCTATTTTGGAGGCTTAAGTACCTAAAGACACTCACACAATTCATGTATGTTAATGAAAATACTTCTGCTAACATAGCCTAAATTTTCTAGGCTCGCAAGCTCTCATGAATATGCATAGCTCCTCATTTCAGGTTGACTATCACTTACCTTTATTTGCCAGTTATCAAGACTAATATTCTGAAGTAGGTTCAATGAATTTTAATGTTCTAAACAAAATAAACACGAGTACTTTTTAATGATAGGTTGGGGGCAGGACTTTGTGTCTCATCACTGTTGTTCTGCTACAGAAGCAGTGTCGTGGGTGATGTAAGCACACATGCTTGTATCTTCTGTCTTTGAGTTCCCCCAGTCATTACAACTCCTCCAAAGGAGTATGTCGTTGCTGTGGACAAGCCCGTCACACTGCCGTGTGAGGCAGATGGGGTCCCACCTCCTGAGACCGTGTGGCACAAGGATGGACATGCGGTTGTGGAGTCCATCCGCCAGCGCACCTTCAACTCTGGGGCTCTGCAGATAGCATTTGCCCAGCCTGGTGACACGGGTCAGTACACGTGCATGGCAGCTAACGTGGCAGGATCCAGTAGCATGAACACCAAGCTCACCGTCCACGGTAGGTTGTTGAACACAAATTATGTCATTCTCTAGCGTTACCATGGAGAAGAGAAAAGACCACCAAGAGCAAAACTGATGGAAATCAGAACCATGGAAATCAACAATCCAGTGGGTGGGGGAAGGGATGTAGAGGCATTTGCTCTTCAAATCTGTCTTCTGTGCACGCGTGTGCACATACGTGAGTGAGAAACAGATTGTATTAATGTTGTCAGAAACATTCGTGTGTGGCCAATAATCCCTTCGCACTGAGGTTCTTGGGACCTGCCCTTGGCCTACAAGGAGGCCAGTTCCTTTCTCTGACTCTTCTGCTTCCCTTCTTGAAGCTTCAGTCCTCTTGGCCCAAGACTAATTGCATTATGACCTAATTATAAATGAAGTTTGAACCTAATGGGAACTGAAAAGCTATTTGATTTATCAAAGTAGCAAAATATTAATCTGTATATTTTTTCTGTATCTTATGTCCTTCTTTCCTTTGTCTTAAGACACTAACAATATCTAAAAATTAGCATCAAAATACTTTAGTTTTCATTATACAATCTAAGAATAAAGACAGAATCCTTATTAATATTAGTGGTAGGAAACAATGTTTAGTTAAACTGTTTTCAGCCACTATTTTCAGAGGTAACTCTTAATGAGTAACTTCTGTTTTTTAATATTTTCAAAAACTTGTTAGAAGTTTTTTTTTTGGTGGGGCTGGGGTTTGAACTCAGTACTGAGTGCTTGTGAAGCAGAACTTTTTAGTTTTTAAGTGTGCTTTAATTTACTCTAATTGCACAGTTATAATAATAATTTGAAGTATAATCCTTTTTAATTGAATAATTTAGCCAAAATTAAAAATCATCATTTATGAATTTTCCAAATAACCTTCCTGCTTTCGGTTAATTATAATTAAACTAATTAATATACATTAACCTTTTATGCTCAAATAAATAATGCTTTCTTTTAATTATTTGTAGAAAATTTGTCAAAATTCCCTGTGTACCAAAAAACAAAGGGCGTGTTAATAAGTTTTTAAAATGCAACCCACAATCCCTGCTCACAATGCAATAAGGATAAGATTTTGTTACAAACATTCAATGTCAAAATCTCAGCCCTAGGCAACTTAGAAAATACCTTTCTAGGTAAAAAGTAGGTCAAAAGACATGTTTTTATTCTCAAATTATTTATAAAATAATAAAATAAGGACACTGCATATTAAAATGCTCAGCAGGTAGCCAACCATAAAATCAACTTTGAAGTCATAGCCTTGGATTATTTCATTTCAAAACCATGTAAAACAAATATACTGGTGCTGTATCCCATAATCCTTAGTAAAAGAGAACTAAAAACCCAAAGAAAACCAAGATGAAGAAGATAATGTAAATGCAGCATAGATTAGTGAAAAGCACAGTGAATATTTATGATACCATTCAGAAAGAGATTTTTGTTTCCCAAGTTATCTATGTTAATACATATATTAATGTTTGTATATTTACTGATGTAATTAGGAAATTAACAAGTGAAAAATTAAAGTCTATACAGCTGCTTTAATTTTGCTGACGCCAGCAGTTGTCACTGTTTTAAATATCATTAAGATTAGTCTACTTCTTGGGCTGGCAGAGTGGTTCAAGTGGTAGAGCACCTGCCTAGCAACAATGAGACCCTGAGTTCAAACCCCAGTGCCACAAAAAAAGAAAAAAAGAAAAAGATTAGTCCACTTTTCACTGATGTCCGAATAATTCCAGAATTTTGTTATTTTGGTAAGGGAGTATATTTTTACTTTTTGCACTAAAGTCTTTTCTTTATCAGTAAAATCTAAGTTCACTAAAGTATTTTTTAGTCATTAACATATTCAATTCATCTTCATATTGCCTAAGTTCCAATTGGAGTAAGTGGGAGATTGAGTCACAGAAAGTATTTGGTATTGCTATATATGGAGTTATAAGTCACTATAAAAATTTCCTATGTGACAGTAATAAAAATGAATTAACTGTCTTGATCTGGTTTTACTGGCATCTGTAGTAACACATGTGAAATACAGCAATAAATATTTTTTTCACAGCACTTTGTGATATTCAGTATCTGATGAGTACTTTGCAGTATTTTATAGTGACTCTGATTAGCTCATTCTCTCAATATTTATATGTGAGACAAATCCAGAAATTATACAACCCTAGAAGTACTTTTGGCTTGGGTTTTGGTTTTTTTTTTTTACTACAATAAGCAGAAGAAACTCAAGTCAAAAAAGCCAAATAAAATCTAAAGATTTCCAGTCATTTGCTTATAAACTGAATATAAATAAATATAATTCAATAAAGTCAAATATATTAGTTATTGCTATCATCAAAGATATTGATGCTTTCTTAAGCAAAATAAAAGTCTTAATATTAAGATTTCTTTTAGTTTTCCTAGAAAAATTACCCTCCAAAGAGTCTTTTGTGTTTTAATATTCAACATAAATAAAGGTTTTATTGAACTCAACTTCCTAGATAATTACCTTTTAAAACTCTTGATAGTACCACCCAGGATCCGAAGTACAGAAGTCCACTACATGGTCAACGAGAACTCACAAGCCATCCTCCCATGTGTGGCTGATGGAATTCCCACACCAGCGATTAACTGGAAAAAAAACAATGTTCTTTTAGCTAACTTGTTAGGCAAATACACTGCTGAACCATATGGAGAACTCGTGGTGAAAAATGTTATGGTAAGCTTAAAAGATATGAATACATACCTTAAGACAGATGGTTAAGTCACCTTTTTGTTTATAGGAAGTCAACTTGGAAGTATTTTCTTTAATAATGGCAGAAAATACTCTTATAAACTTGGGTTTCAAGATTAATTATACATACATTTCATTTTTATATCCCTGGAATGAGAATAGTATTTAACAGAGAGTAAGAACTAATAAATGGCCTCTTTCTAAAATCGTTGATTTACTTTTGAGGAACTCTTGCTTATCGGGAAAAATGCTCAGTGTCTGTGCAATATTCTGTGCTTGTATCCATTTGTAGGAGTGATCAAAAGAAAGGAAATGTAAGAATGACAGAGGTATTATAAAGCAAATACAATGAAAAACAGGGTTTTTAAACAAGCCTTTCTAGTCATCGACTTGAAAACTTAAGTCTTAGGGCCCTATACAAACCAAGATTTGTTTTTTTAAATATTCTTAGATTGTACCCTTCCAGATCTGTAGAATAGTAGCTGTTGAGAGCATCTGACTTTCAAGTAGCCCACTTTAAGGGAAATCTGTAGAAAGATACACACACATGACTTTAAAAAAAATTACTGGGTGTATTGAGAATATCAACACTGGATCATAAATGCAAGAAATGCTTAAAATGTGAGTCAAATTCAGAGTCCTTGTAGATATATTATTGTATTTCATAACCTTTCAAAATGCCTACATTTCATTGCAACATTTGATTGGGATTAAATTTGAAAAGGTTACAATGATAAAAGTGGCCATATTCACTTTAGAGTATAATCTCAGTCAATTAGCCAGACTGAGATTTCTGGGTACATATCCCTCACTCATGGCAGGCTATGTCATCAGGCTCCGACTCAAGTGGCTATGCCAACGAACGTTGCATTTACCCAAATCTATGTTTCCATCAATCATAAGATGCACAGAATTCTCTGTGCCACTGAGAAAGAAATAATACAGCCAAGCGAAGCATAGCAGACTATCAAGGTTTCAGAGATGCTAAAAGCAAAAAGAGTGCACCTTAGAGTGGATAAAAATGAGAATAAATCTTTTGATTTGTTTAAATGGCTTAGTGTTTCTGGTGGGCATTACCTTTATGTCCATAAACACTGATTTTGGTCTCTTTTTTGGTAAAAAAAGTTCAGTGAGATAAATGATTCAGATACATTAAAAGAATACTGACAGTAAGGTAACTTATAAATCTGAGAGGAGTAACATAAATAATATGTAGAAATGTGTTTCTTAATATGTATGACTGAGATTTTTAAATACTTCATTTCCATAACATATTGATTTTAAACTTAAGTTGTCACAGCCTGGGTGTTTAAGGACAGTTAAGTGGTATAGAATTGGGAGACCTTTATGTGGAATAAGATTCATTTTTGCTAGCCTTTTTAAAAATAAACAACCAAT